AAAAGAAAAAGAAAAAAAATCTAAGAAGTAATATATATGTATTCTTTTAGTTTGATTTTAACATTATAAACAGTATTTAGATTAATAAAGTAAAATGAAATGAATTACGAGGGAAGAGTTCCAATACGGACTTGAATTCCTGAGGTGGCAACTCAAGTTTCAAGCAATTATTGTCATGTGCAAATGGATAACTGTTCTGAAAACTAATGGCTAAAAGAACGAAGCAGCGCCAAGTATGCATGCAGACATTATATAATCTATACTGTGTACGCTTAACTAAAATGGCTAACAGATAAAATAAACTTTTGCAGGCTTTTCTTTTGTGGAATGAATACTACTAATTAAAGTAGTTATTTTGATAAAGTAGTCTAATTACGGAAAAAAAAAAAAAAAGAAGAAGAAGAGATACCACTCTGTTCTTGTAAGATTTCGAGCACATGCTTCGTTGATGCCAACAAAACACATAACTCCATTACGTGTCCCCTATTCTTGTTTATCTTGTTTGAAACATCCCCCAAAAAGCCCCAAATTCTTTCTTATCATAGGGCTCAATAATTGATCACTACGAAGTACGAACAGATATATATATATATATATATTATATTTGATTTGATGATTATAATAAAGTTAGCGTAAATTCAACAAAAATGAAGTAATGGAGGGATTTCAAATCGTTTGTCATTTCTTTCATTTTTAGTTTTTTTTTTTTTTTTTTTTGCATGCTTAACTTTAAGCCCAAAACTTAGAAGCTAATTACCATCTTTTTCCCTTTTGCGATCTTTTCCTGCAGCGATTCTCTTTCCCGCACTGCTGTCTTGCTGAGTTAAACGCAAGTTTATTTGTTTTCAACAATAGAATGAACAGATATTGCACAGCAGGATATAACGTTAAAAGGAAAGAAGAAAAAGTAACAATGCACTTGTTGAATCATGAATGATTTGGTACAACAAAATCTCTCAAGTTTATCGTGGGTGAGTAATGCCTCCCCACCCCCCTCCTCTTTTCTTTTCTCACAAACAAACGCGTATATCATTAATATTCAATCGGTGACATATACACGTTGGTTTTTGTATTAGTGAATTCGTGTGTGTGTGAAAAGTAAATTTATGCATAACAAAAGTAATACTGAAATGAAAAAAACACAATTTAGACTCACAAAAACATGGAAATACGCAGTAATTTATTAGTACGAATAATTTTGGAGGAGTAATTTGTTTCTTATTACGTATAACTACAGGTTCAATATCAATTAATTAAAAATTTAATTTAATTTTATCATTATATCTGTGTTTAGTTCTACAAAGAGAGCGATGATACGCATGGCTACGAAAATATATATGTTACGAGCCAAAAAAGAAACATAGTTGAAGTGGATAATGTTTAAATATATAAATACATTGACTATTTTACCTTATTTGTGGCTGAATTATTTTTATATTGCATTTTTTAACGCAACACATATAGATATAGTGATTGATGTCGACAGAATTAGTGTTACGCAACATGATTAGGACAGCTTAAATTTTGTTTACCTATATATAATGACTGAACGAAGTTAACAAAGAAGTCAAACTTTATATAAGTTTTCTGTAATTGTTCAGTTCATGAAATCAGGCTATCATCACGGCAGGTCCATCTTAATTATTTTTCTCTCTAGGTCCATCTTAATTATTAATTCATTCAAACTCAGATAAAAATTAATAGTCCCACAAACTTCCTGCATTTTGGGGTTTCTAGCTAGATTCTAGTGGTGGCAATCTTGACATGTAACATACAATATTAATTTGATGCAATTATTGTATTAGTTTGGTTAAATCAATCAAGGATTAACAAATGATTAATTCATAAAATAAGGCATTGTGGATTAAGTTCAAAGATTAATGGAAACTTTTGATCCTGCTGTGACCCGGCCGATTGCATTTTCATGGCAGTCCTATACTGCAAATGTTGTTGACCACACTTACTTTCTTCGGAAAATAAATCAATATTCCTCCGGTCCTTCAAATTAACTTACTTTCAATCTTAAAATCTTTTCTCCCCAGAATAGAGATAGTCTATCTTATACTCCCTCCGGTTTTTATTATAAGGCATTTTGTTTTCATCATAGGTTTAACTTAAGATATCTTTTTAATTGAAAAAGAAAACCTAAAAAATATATTTTCATATTCGTTGTGTTCTCCTTATTATTATGAAATGTTTTTAAGATTTTTATTTCAATTAAAAAGACATCCTAGCTGAAACCTATAACGAAATCAAAATGTCTTATAATAAGGACCGGAGAGAATAATTAGAACGGAAAAGAATATATTAAATATCGTAATTTGTAATCGTTGATGTTGCAATCATGAATGTGAAATTCAACAAATGAATTATCGTTGTCACGTCGCCCTGTATCCGAACGTGTAGAGTTTCTCAATTTGTGACACTCACCAACACAATAATACATTATCTAAGTCTCTCTTCGTTCATTTTCCATTCCCCCGATTCTCTCCAAATTGTTGGGACATAAAGGATCAAAGTTTTCCAAGACGCGTCACGCACGTACTAACCCTCTTTGGCAAAAAGGGTCCTAGACGAATAATACTTCGTCCCTCTCAAAAACTATATAAAAAAAGTCCACATAATAAATTGTATCTAATTCAATTTACAAAATATTACGTTGACTATTTTTTAAAAAATATACTACATCCGCCATAAAAAACATAATCCACATTGAGCGGACTATTTTTGTGGGATGGAGGGAGTATAATTTATTATTTTGCCACTTATCTGTCACATGTGACATTGGTTAAATAGCTAATTATACGTGCCATATAAGTAATTCACGAGGATTCACTGACCAATTTGTTGGTGTTTTTGGTTTTTTTTTTTTTTTTTTTTCTTTTTTGGTGTTAGTTTTGGTTATAACTTTAAAACTCGTGTTAAAGTAGATTAGTGTCACGGAATGCGTAATACAATGCTATTAAGCTCACATATGTCGTGGATTCATATTTAGATTTATGTCATGATAATTTTGTTAATGAATGCAAACTATGCGTTGTACATAGTGCCAAAAGAGAAGGAGATTGGACAATTGAAACAATAAATTAATTATGAAGCAAAGAACAGTTACCTTAAAATATGTAAAATTAATCCAACATAAATTGACCGTCTCAAAATCATAATTTTGTTTGAATTTATTTCCATTAATAAAAGTGAAATTTTTAACTGGAGAATTATTTTGAAATAAAAAAATATATATAAGTAGTCGATGGAGAAGCGAAATACAAAAATGAATAGCATTAACTTGGATAACACCTAATCTCATTAATAAACGATAAAAAAGAAAACCTACTCAACATTTGCACCGGCCAGAAGTCGACTTCCATGATTGAGTATCTTACCTGTAGTTTAAAAGAAAGGACCAACCCATAGAACCAAAAAAAAAAACAAAAAATTCAAAATTTAAAGAAGAAAAAACTAACCCAAATAACGAAGAAAAAAGAAGAAAAGAAAAGCAGGGGCTGGACATGGTTTTTCATGGACAAACTTGGTACCGTATGAAAGAACGATATATTCAATCACAAAAACAGAACATTTTGGGACCAACACTCGTACTCTGTATCTTCTAAACTTAAAACTAGAAAAATCGTAACTCTTCATATTTCCTGCAACGTGCCTTCAATGCCTCTCTGATATTAATCTAGGTGTTTTTTTTTTGTTTTTGTTTTCCTTTCTTGGTGGAGCTTTGAATTATTACCATATTTTGATACATTATTGTGTACCCAAAAACCATTATCCTATTAATATTTTATATTCGAAAACATGAGATATTCTTTAGATTAAAGTGAGCTAAGATGAGCATAACAAAAAAGATGAAAAAGACGGCATTGATATAACCATCGGGCTTAGAGTGTATCAAATGATGGAGTTAGATGAATCGACATTTATCTCGTATTTCCTCAAATATTCACTCACTTACAGAATGATTGAAATTTTCTTTTAAAATGATTCGCTGAGGTGTCCTTTTTTTTTTTTTTCCTTTTCCTTTCCTTTCTTTTAATAAGTTTCCTCAAACAAGGGAATAATCTTGTGTAACAAAATCTGAGATTAATCTCCCCTTAAAATTTCATGCAACTAACCTCACAAATTTAGCTTACACCGGATCTAAAGGCGGGTAATTTAACGTACATACGTGTGTCGTACGGTACGTACGAAAGGAGCCAAATTACCATCCTTTTATCCCTACAAATCAGCATTTTCAATCTCTTAATTATCACAAAATTATGATTATCCCTTATGAATTACCCCCCCTCCCCAAAAAAAAAAACGAGAGTTATCCAATCAATCTTCGGCAGTATAAAAACACACCTTACGTGGGGAAACAAGATAAATATCCTGATATTGAATCAAATTATCATCAACGACTTCCTAAGCAAGAATCCAGAAAATTAAACACATTATCGTTTGTCACAATTATTCATGTAACCATAAATTTTTTTTGTAAGAGTTTATTACACTTGTATGTTACAGATATATAACACTATAAGATTCTGACACACGCCTCTCTTTATTCGTACCATTCATCCATTTGTCGTTGAGCTATTCGTTAAGTTGTGTAATTATCTGTAAAGAACACATGTCGTGTTTTCAAGAGGTGTAACACAACAAAATAGATTCAATCCCCCAAATTTTGAGTCCATTATCCATATCTCTATCCGCGAGACAGTAATTATCTTGGTCCACAAAGAAGAAGAACAAATCAGAAGCGTAATTATCATTAAATTGTTCCATTTAATTCACTTTAATAATTAGTTTCCTGCATGGCTTTAAAGTTAAATGAACCACTATCCCCTTTAAACATTACGGGATTAAAAATCTAGCGTATATGACGCTCCACCGCCTTTGGAACTCCATGGGCTGTCCGTTTAAAAAAGTTACTTAAAAAAAAAAAAAACAATCACCCCGATCTTTTACCAATTACCACACATGTCACTCACACCTTCAGTCACAGTCCAATTACAACCCGCAAACTGAATCACAGCGTACACGCGTCAAAATCACAGCGAGCCTTTCAGCTTTCCAAAATCTCAGTTCATGTAACTTTAAAAATGCCCAGTATTTTAACCGCGGTATTAACCCCCGGCTGCTCACAGTATTTTCAACCTAACCACGGTTAATTGAGACGTAACCCTGGTTCAACCCCCACTACATTGGTACTTTATATACGGACTGGCAACCTCTTCTGCCCATCACTCCCAGAAGGAAAAAAAAACCAACCCAGAAAAAATCACCCAAACCCAGAAATGATGATCGGAGAGCGAAACCACGCCAATCACACCATCCATGTTCCGCCGTGGCCGTCATCGTTTCCAGATAGTCCGGCGGCCGATTTCTCCTGCTTGAGCCCCGGCGGCGGGAATGCTAACTGTAGCCCAAACTTCGATGACTATTCATACGCTCTAACTGCCCTGCAGCGTTATCTGCCGTCCAACGTCAAGACAAACCTGACCGACTTGCTATTGGAGGACTTTGACCCGGAAAACGAAGACGCTTTTGCCAAGGACTTGGATCTTCCCGTGGACGCCTATTCATGCGATCAGTTCCGCATGTTTGAGTTCAAGGTGAGGAAATGCATGCGTGGCAGGTCTCATGACTGGACCGAGTGTCCGTATGCCCATCCCGGCGAGAAGGCTCGCCGGCGGGACCCCCGGAAGTATCACTATTCAGGCACTGCTTGTCCGGATTTCCGGAAGGGCAGTTGCCGGAAAGGCGATGCTTGTGAGTTCGCCCATGGCGTGTTCGAGTGTTGGCTCCACCCGGCTCGTTACCGTACCCAACCATGCAAAGATGGGATGAATTGCAAGCGGAGGGTCTGTTTCTTTGCTCACTCGCCGGACCAACTGCGGGTTCTCAGCCCCCGTGCCGAATCCTATGATGGGTCTCCTCATCGCTTGGCTTTTGATGGCTCTTTCAGCAAGGCTCTGCAGTTCATGTCATCGCCGGAATCCGGCTCCCCGCCGTCTGAGTCGCCGCCGATGTCTCCCCTGACCACCGCATCGTCGATGAACCCGTTGAGCCGTTCTCTCGGGTCGAACTCCATCAACGAGATGATGGCATCCATGCGCCAGTTACAGCTGAACAAAGTCCAGTCTGCTAATTCCAGTTGGGGCCTGCAGGCATCTGGTGGTTCTGCACTCGGGTCCCCCAGGATGGTTATGTCCCGGGCCGGGTACTGCAGTTTGCCTTCCACCCCGACCCGTATGGCAAACCGGAACGGGATCGGGTACTTTGACAACTGGGATAACGGCGGGTGTGAGGAGGAGCCGCAGATGGAGAGGGTGGAGTCGGGAAGGGATTTGAGGGCGAAGATCTTCCAGAAACTTAGCAAGGAGAACCCTCTGGATCGGGCCGACCCGAACTCTTATGATGCACCAAATCCAGATGTTGGGTGGGTCACGGAGCTGATAAAGTGAAAGATTGGAAATGATGGAAGCCTGAAAGTAGTGCTCTTGGTAATCATTATTAATCATATTCTTAATTATGGAGATTAATTGTTTTTTTGGGGACTGCTTAAGTATTGCGCCTGCCTTTCTCTCCATCTCTTCTGGCATGTAATTAGTACTAATCATTATTGGAAAAAAAAAAAAAAAGGGAGATGAGAGAAAGATCTGAGGTGTTTTGGTAATTTGCTCTTTATCTGAAGATTCACAAGTTTTTGTACATAGGAAGAAAAAGAAGTTATTAGTAGATTACTTGTTAGTAGTATGAAATTTAGAAGCTCCTAAAAATGGTGCCTTTTGCATGGGAAGGATATTTTGGGAAAGAAGAGTGGGAATCTCTTGTTTTGGGGAAGAACGAACGAGAAGGTTCTCAGGCATTAAGGAGATTCGTGTTTTGTGCTGCTGAAGGAATTGGCGACAATAGCAGCGAAATTATTAATGTAAATTAATTTCCCTTTTGTTATTTTGTTGTTAATTAAATATTAGCCGGGATTGTCTTCAATCTCCGGCGCTACGTTTCTCAGTCTTTTGTTCTATTTCATCAACTGAATGTTGTTGGCACTTGTGAATATTGTCAATAATAAATTCCTTAAATTATGTTGGCTCGGGAGATCTGGAGGATAAGATGATGAATGTTGGCCGTATTCTATTTTGTTTTAGGATTGCACAATTTTTGGTATGTGTGTGCGTGTGTATAGGGATACTCAAGTAGAGAAACATTTTGACCAAAAACGATGGCTTGTTTTACTTGCCATTTTGGTTGAGGCAATGTAGATTTTGTGTTTTGGTGAGAAGAACGGAAGAGATGTTGTGGCAAAGGGGATGGAATGGAAACAAAGTTAAACTCAGGTGGGGTTAAAAGTTAAAACTTAAAACTTGAGAAAAGGTTGATGTCTGTATAAAAGAGACAGTAACGGAGGGGGCAGGTTTGTAACTTTGCATAAGGGGGAAAAGGTGAAAGGTAAAGGGGACAGTTGAGATTTATCTCTCTTTAAAGAAAGGGGAGAAGGGGGAAGGGGGGACAGATTTTGTTTTGACATGGGGCGGGGGGGCCAGGAATTCTGGAGCGAATTCTGGTCCCTCCTCAATCCTCATCCGTTCAGTTTTAAAGCCAGATTTTGATTACAGTTGAAGGAAAATACAAAACACCAAAATATGAAAAGAAGAGCAATCTCTGCAATCTTTTTGAATTTGAACCAACATGTTTGATTTGGTCTTTGATTGAGCCTGTGAAATTTGACTGACCCGGAAAAAAAAATATTGAAACATGGAAGTAGGAAAAAAGAAAAGGGGATGCTTACCAAATTCTACGGTACATTAATGATGGTGAGTGGTAATAATAGTAGTAGACCTTTAGAAGTGGTTTGTTAACGTACCCGGTATAGCACGCAACCCAGGAAGTCTGCAATTGTACAGGGGAAATGTTATGATGAATGGTTGCAGGGATTCGTTTTATTATTTTTAATTGAGGGTGGTACTACTGCTGCAGTGGGTCTATTACCCCCCTATTGGGTAGGAGTATATCTTTCCTTTTAACTTTTTACCGTGGTAAAAACGAGTATAGAGCCTACTAGATTCACTGAACAAAGGTGGTATTAGTACTGTATACATAACAAAAGTGAGAAGGGGACATGCTAGTCTCTTGAACAATGTGGATTAGATTCATGCATGGGACTATAAAGGGTGTTCTGACCACGGGTTTAATGGTTTACATTTCCTGAAAATTACGTTATGATATACTGATGAAACGATAGTCGTGTATGTTTTGTGTTAAAATGCTAAGACAGTGAACATGATCATTAACATTTTTTTTTTACTGGAAGTAAATTATTCTTGTGAGAAATGTAATAAATGGGCTAGATGAAATGAATATTTTTCTTCAATACGAGCTTATTTTTATATATTTTATTAAGAATAACATTAATAATTTATCACAAAACTTGATTGCTTAGCCATTGAGTTCAGAAAAACACAATACATTGGTGGCTTAATTATATGACGACTTGACGAGGGTTTGAAAAGGAATCATCATCAGCTTGAATAATCTGGATCGTTGTTTTGGACACCAAGTAAAAAAAAAAAAATTGACCTGAATTGATCGTCGAATTTTTGTATTAATTTAAATTAAAATTAAGAATTATTTTGAGACCCATAAAATAAGAAACACACAAATTGAATCGAATGTGGAAAACTCTAAACACATCCACTGATCGACATATCAAGCAACTACAGAGTTTCGAACAAGTGGTAGCCAACAACAATAAAACAGTTATCTCAACCTTTTGGCTCTTGGTATTAGGAAGTCTTTCAAGGCGATTAACCGGCCACCCGGCATTGAGGTTAACGCTAAGCTAAAGCGGCCGACCTAAAAACAAGAGGATGAATCATTTTCTTTCGTTTGGATTAGATACACCTACTCCAAGCTTTGTATGGGCTTATGACGACAAACAAATTGATGGGGGCGGGATTTATGGCTAAAACTAACGAGTTTCGCTGATATTTTCATTGACCTTTTCAATTAAAATTTTTAACCACTAAAGTTATACTCCCTCCATCCCATAATTATTGTACATTTTGAGCTTTTATTTTTAATTCAAATTGTACTAAAAATAAAATCTCGAACTGGACAATAATTTTGGGACAGAGGGATTATGATTAATTGTTACTACTATTGTTAAATTCTAAACAATTACTAAATTTCCCTACTTCAAACACCTAGTTTCATGGTTATCATTCCAATTTCCATCATTTGATCCCACCCTTTTTACATAGAGGCACTCCATAAATAAGTTTGTGATAATTAAATCATTCTAACTTTTTGGTTCACAACAATATTCATCGTTAAGACCCATGAATCACTCCGTAAATGAGTTTGTTCAATAACCATTTCTCATTTCTATAAGTCGCAAATTCATATATTTATTCCGTCCTGAAATTATTCTACAATTTGAGATTTTATTTTTAAAACTGAAAATCTAAACTACCACAATTTGGAACAGAAATAGTATTAGTTTAGTAGTTTTTATGCATTTGCAACGTGAGAAAAAATGAGCTGGAATCTTTGTAAATATTGGTGACAGTACTAAAAGAGTTAAATCTTGCCCAATACAATGAAATCCAGTGATTCTGCTGGGCTCTAAATCCAAACTGTCGGGCTCCAAATCCAACAATTTTTATATATCATATTGATCCACGGCAGTGGTTTCAATAAACCAAAGCTGAACTTAATGGAGAGCAACTTAGACAACTCAAATCATGTTTGTTTACAAATTTAATTGGGCTTCGAGAAAAAAAAAATCAGGATACATTGCCCATGTATTGTTGTTACTCGTGGATGAAAACTCATCTATGTAAATTTTTACCCCCATGTAGAATTGGTTTGTAAACTAAGCGTAAAGCTTTCCCCCATATATATAAAAATCTTTGTTATTTTAATTTTTGAGAAAACAATGGTAAGTTAAAAATTCTTCAAAAAACAAAAGTACTCTTCGGTTCCAAAATAAAAATTATATTTGATATACAATTTTTTTCTTAATAGATTGGAGTCATTGGACTTTTTTCTTTTTTTAAAAAAAAAACGATAGAATATATTCCACAAGGACGTTGACATCCTCAGTTGCTTTCTAAAAATCACTAGTTGAATTTTTGAAAGCTACAACTAAAAAACTCAAATTTAAGCAACAATTAAAAAAATCAAAATCAATCGAGTTAACTAGTCTCAACTTGATGAGATACTGACATAAGCAAGGCACAAGGTAAGACTAAGACCAAGAACTTTTCCAATTTGAAACCACGAGTTTTTGAATCACTCCATTTAATTTAACCTTGTCGGTAGTTTCAAATGTCTTTGGCTAAAAAGATCTATTCAAAGGTTGATTTACTTTTTACCTCGTAGCGGAGACCTTCTCTTCTGATCGAAGCGTTGCAACTGAATTGTTACCGATGTCATCACAAAAATGGTCCCCGTGTTGATGTAATTTAATAAGAGAGCGTGACATATATATAATATAATGTAAATGAAAATAATAGGGTGTTTCTTTTTAATCATTTCGTCAAACTATACCTTTATCCTTCCATAAAACTACTAGTTTTCAAATTAAGATAGCTTTTCCTTTCTTTTTGGGTAGAAGATCACTTTTACATGTCATTTCTTAAGTCTTACTCCCTGTGTCTCAAAATTACTGTCTATTTAATATTTCACTTTTAATACAAATCTTTATATATATATATATATATATATATATATATATATAATAGGAGAGTTTTCAATCGACACGTGTCGCGCAATGGGATAGTCCAGAGACTTCTATGTCACTTGTCAAACTCACGTTTTTCTTCTGACACGAGTCGATAAAAGAAACTCTCCTTCATTAAACCATTAAAACTTTATGGTAAATTGGTTACCTTAACTCATTTATCACCTATCCATTTCACCCACTTTATACTTTTGTAAATTGATTAATTACCTAATTAATTACCCATTTCTATTTACGAGTTACCATATTAATGATTAAAATTCATTCCTAAAATAACTAGCAAATTAAATTGAAAGTTAATATCATTAATTAGGGACATTTATTTAATATAAAAAATATCAAATTTGATTCTATTTATTTAAGAAAAAATTATTGAATTAGTCCCGATCTATACATTCCAGCTATAATATCATCCCTACATATTCCTTTTCATCGATTTAGTCACAACCTATAATTCATTTAGCCAGTTTAATCCATTTAATGAGATTAATCAATTATTTAACAATAATTCTTCATTATTAATTTATTAACTTATTAATTTAGTCCTAACCTAGAATTATTTTCATTATTAATTTATTTTTTAAAAATCAATTCTCCATAGTAAACCACAAGGGAAACTTTGAGGGTTTAACTGCCAAATATTATAAAAAACAAATTTTAGCACCTTAGTAGTCCTCTGGCCATCAATAAAAATTGAGATTGTACAAATTAAAAACTATCTCTCTACATTATTTCATATAAATTACGGATGACCTAACTTTCCAATCGCATTACTCTTTTTAATGACTTGACAGACTTGCAGTTAATTGACACAGTTCTTTGAATGTGTTTCCTCGCATCCCCATCTCATTTGGCCAATTACTTTTATCTCATTCGTTGATCTTTAGTTAATATTGAGATTTATTCATGAATTTCCAAATACAATTTGATTTTTATATCCAGGTCACAACAATCTTTAGTTAAGAAGAAATTTTAGATTTTAACATGAGATCTCGATTCTGAGGATTCCAATTGAGGGACCAAGGCGTTGTTTTCATTTGCTAGAATGCTTTCTCCAGATCCCCATGTAATTTTAGCGTGCATAATATTTTTCATGGAGAAAGAATAGAGGGGAAAAAATGATAATTAGTGCTTTAGTGGATGGTGGTCAACGGCGGCCATCTGAAAAAATAGTGGAGGGGAATGTGGTATTTATGATAAATTCTTTTTAATTATTAAAGATGGAAATTTTAGGTTAAAAGAAAAAAGAAATGTTAATGAAAACGTTAAAAATCAGTCAAAACATAGATAAATTCATTTAAATTAACTAAAGTGACTAAATCAAGTATTTTAACCAAACAAGTATAGGTTGGAACTAATTCATCCATTTTTCCTTTATTTCATTACTTATTTTATATCAATACTATAAATGTTAATAAATAAAAAAAATATTGACTTCTTATCCATATTTAGAAATGTAGAGATAAGATCAGCGATCAAAATAGAGTTATGGTTTATTTCATATTTATTTTTTGCCTATTTTCGCCCTCAATTGCAACTCTAATTCATATCCCTTCAACAAACTATAAATAACATGTCCACGTTACTAATTGACTTCAATTTTGAACTACGAATACTAAACCATTATATTACTAATTTGTAAAATTTGGATTATGATATTTTTTTTTTCTTTGATAACTATGTAGATCCTTCAAGATGCACTTTGATGCAGTCATTTTATATTTTGCAAATTTGTAGATACTTCTCCAACCCCAACATTTACGATACCTTCTATTTTGTTAAATTCGCAACAATATATATTTTACCTAAATGTAAATATTTTGATTTCTATGTACATACATGTGGTAAGTAGCGTAATTATTAGTTAAATAATCCACAAAACCTTTAATTTAGAAAAAAATAAATTGGATGCAGTTGGAAAAGCTTTATACCTTATATTTTTATCAGTGAATGACATAGAACTATAGGGCCAATTTTTAGCGTTTCAGTTTGAAAAGTTTCACAATTTTCATAATGATATGATTTTATGTTATTATTATTTATTTATTTGGACAAGATGGCATGAATGATAAGGAAAAAATGGCCACTTAATTATAACCATGTTAAAGTTCATGATTTCAAAAAGAATAGAAAAAAAAAATTAGAGTACCTCCTAAAGCTACGTACGTATAATACATCTTTTTATTTTATTTCATTTTATTTTTTCGGTATCAATTATGACTGCTTGGTTATGAGATTAATATTGATATGTAAATATTCTTTACTTTGTTTATTTTGTGACATACAGAGAACTATAATAAACTTATATATAAAACAAATTATTTCAGGTGAAAATGAATAGATTATATGTATTAGTTTCTTTGTGAATATATGTAGTGCAATATATCGGTTTTTGTTTTTTATTTAATGGGATGATATCTCAATTTCATAAATTATTATAATCTAAAGTTTTTCTTTTCTCTCAATATTTCTGTTCAGATCTCATTCTTTCTCTTGCCTTCTAACCCATCTTTGTCATTTTCGACATTGAAATATGCCATCTGCGAATCAGTTGAAGGTTTCTTTATTGGGTATTTTCATTGTACGGATTATTTATTAGAATCACGAATTTTTACTACTTTCTTTTTTTTTTTTTCATTTTGTTTTAGAATTGTAGGGATGGATGAGAAAGCAAAATTACAAGTATTACATTTTTTTAGTAATAGTTACTTTTTCCTATACTTTTGTTTTATATGTGATTTTTCTTAATTTTTCTCTAATGAATTTAGTTTTATATATAATACTATGTGAATTTATAAAAAGATTAATGTATCACAATTAGATTTCGTAAGTAAATTTTTGAAAAGTGTCACAATCACTCTATTAAAAGAACTCATTGGCACTTCATTTATATCATATGAGTTGATGTATATATATAAGAACACAGAATAAGAGTTTGTAATTTGTATTAAAAAAAAAAAAGAGTAAAAGTTATGTATTTCGACACTTGCTACGTGTTTTGTTCAAAATCCTCACTTAATATTAATTTTGTATTATTTTTACAGTCAATTTCTATCAGTTAATCAATCTGTTTATTGAAACCCTTGTATTTACTTACTTTGATCTTCTTAATTGTGGAATTTAAATTTAAAATATTATGTCCAAATAAATTAACTTTTAATAGCCTCTTATCATGATGGACAAAATATTCAATAAGTAAAATTGACATGTCATATAAAAATAAATCATCTGATATGATTATATCTGAATAAATGTCTTATATCATATACCCAATCCTACCCGAAAAATTAGCAATGACACACGATGACAAAATAAATTTAATATTTTGGTTGGCGAAATAATTTCCCTAGCTGCTATACTCGGATGATATCCATAGAAAGTTTCCTAATAGATGAAAAAGGTTGTTTGATTTATCCCTGATATGTTCATTATCATGTTTACATATTGATTGCTATTATTTTACAGGGCAATACAATTTCAACAAATTTTTAAATTTTTTCTTTTTCATTAATTTGTATGCGTGCTAAATTTTTTTACTTTTTTTTTGGGGGGATTTCGAATAAGATAAGAAGCATTCTAATTTTCTAAAAATTCAATCAAATTGATCAAGGATGAAAAATAGCGGCAAGGACTTCTTCAAGATCTAGACCGGCTAGCTGTGTGACGGTATCAGACTTCAGATTAACGAGTTGGGTGACCGCGTCATCCAGGCTACTATTATATACAGTTCAAATATCAATATGTATGTATATATATATATATATATATATATATATATTCCATTTATGGACATCCAACTGTCCGATGTAAGAATACCAATTAGGTTCTAAATGAGAGAATTCTCTATTGTTGTGTGTTTTGCTATAATGATCAATAACAGTCATGGTCACTCTCGCAAGTGGGCCTATTTTTACCACGTCGAGTCTTTGCCCATGGAAAACAATATAAATTACACTTTCTAAGGTGAAATCTAGACAGGGTCTTAAAGTACTTATACACAGCACAGAAGAAGAATTTAGCAATCGGACGAAACATATTATTTACAAAGAAACAATCCAAATGATATAAATATTCATTAATTTCTTCGATTTTGATCTACTTCATTGATGTGTCCCTAACATCACATACTATATTCCATTTTTTTATGTATCAACACTGAAAGTTTAGGACTTGTTTGGCCAAGTCCCATTTTGTCATTTTGTTTCATTTTACCTCTTAAAACACCTCTCAAACACAAAACCCAATACTATCCAAACAACTTTTTAATTTACTTTTTAAAATTTATTTCAAACATTATTTTTACACCATTTTTTTGCACCACCACCGGACCACCTTTGCCGCCACCGTCCTCCCACCGCCGCCGCCAGCTGGCGACCGGTCTGCTGGATTCCGGCCAAATTCCAGCCAAGTTGCCGGAATTTGGCCGAAATCAAGCTGGCCAATCGCCGGCCGGCAGCGGCGATGGACGGTCCGGCGGTGCCGGTAGTGGTGGGGGTGATCCGATAGTGGTCTAAAAATATTATTATTTTATTTAAAATATTATCAAATAATTTTTAAAATTTTCTTTCAAAACACATTTTAAATCACATCTCAAAACCAAATCAAAACTAAAACAAAAACAAAAACAAAATGTTGGCCAAACAAGTCCTTAACAATTACAAAACATTATTACTTGATATTTAAATAAGAATCATCTGTCATTCCGTGCAATGCACGAGAATAAACTAATATAATATAATGTAAATGAAAATAATATGGTGTTTCTTTTTAATCATTTCGTCAAACTATACTTTTATCCTTTCATAAAAGTAGTTTTCAAATTAAGATACCTTTTCCTTTCTTTTTGGGTTGAAGATCACTTTTAGACGTCATTTCTTAAGTCTTACTCCCTCTTGTCCCAAAATTACTGACTATTTTTTTTTTTTTTTCTGAAAAGGATAAGATATATTAAACTGGAATTATCCAGAACTGATGGAAAACCAATCCGGTGGAGATGACCAAAGAGTGTCTCGCATCTTACAGAACTTAGCATAATTCGCTATTTTATGGGGTATGGAGTTTTCTAATCTATTAATCCAATAAAGATTAAGACTAGAAAAACATTGGAGAAGACTCTTAATATCTTGAACAATTGGGAATGCTGAAACAGAGCTTTCCAAATCGCCTCGAGCCATGAGAATCGCGTTCAGAGAATCCCCAACATCCGATCCAACTTAACTCATGCATAAATTGTTTGACCTTGGAAACAAAGTCTCTAGATTGTGTCGTTAAAACTCATACGCTAAAAATTCAGTGATACGAGTTGGATTTTTTACTATCGACTTGTTTGAAGAGAAATCCGCGTGAAATCTTTCCCAATTGTTCATCCATTTCTTATATGTTTCATATAAATACGTAATACTACGGTCTTGAACTGAGAAGAAATACATAGTTGGACTAATGGAGTTTGTAACCACTTCCTATGAATCCTACTCCATTTAGATCTAACTCGTTAAAGACGATGAAATAGCATGTCTTGGGTCAAATTTCTTCTTACTCATAGTGCCACGAAATTCTTCAAAGTGAAACAAAAAATTTCAATGCTCCTTGATGCTTTGCGTAATTCATTTCATACAGACTTTCAGTCTCTTATCTTCTTTCTTTTCTATTATGAAAAATAACAAGATTGATTTTATGGACCCCTGACTCTATATAACAAAAGCGGTAACGGAAATTCAATTTGTTGTCATTTTAGTACAATTTCAGGCCCCGGGGAACCCACATTTGACTGAGTTTCTTTGTTACTGTTACATTATCCATTTACGGAAATAAAGAGAAGTTACACCTACATTTTCCTTTATCTGTTTTACAACGTTAACCCCATAAAATTGTAACCAAACTGTACCACTCCCAATTCCCCCAACAGCCAAATTTTTGAAGTGCAGAAGAAACTTGGTATCAAAGTTTTGACAGAGTCAACAAGCTTACAACATCACCAAAACTTTCATTTTCCTCTTTTTTCCTGTCAATTTAAAGTAACAGCATCTCATAATGCCACTGCTTCTTCTTCTTCGTCTTCTTCTCTTCTTAATATCGCCCCAATTCAAGTTCTAGATTCAAATCCCTTTTTCTGTGCTTGAGTTGTTTGTAGCGTTGAAATGGGAAGAGCTCCTTGTTGTGACAAGACTAAAGTTAAGAGAGGACCATGGTCTCTTGAAGAGGACAACATACTCAAAGATTATGTCCACACTAAAGGCACTGGTGGCAACTGGATTTCTTTGCCTCAGAAAGCAGGTTTTGTTTCCATTCCATCTTTCTTTTTTTTCGGTTCTGCAAGTTTGCGTGGTGTAATTTCCTTTTGGGTTTTCAGATTTGAGGCTGAGAAGGGGGGATTTTAGATGATTCTGTTCTGAAATTACTGTTTTATTGTTTTGGGTATGATTAAGGACTGAATCGCTGTGGGAAGAGCTGTCGTCTCAGATGGTTGAATTATCTTAGGCCAGACATCAAACATGGTGGCTTTACTGAAGAAGAAGATCATGTTATTTTGAAACTTTACTCTCAACTTGGAAGCAGGTTAGTCCAAATCAACGACCCCTGTTTTTTCCCTTCCTTTGAGTCCTTTCTTTTGTTCAGTATACGAACTTTTTTCCGACTCGATTAAGGTATAATTTTACCAAATTTACGTTGATGTAGATGGTCTGTCATAGCTTCACAACTCCCTGGAAGAACAGACAATGACATAAAGAACTATTGGAACACCAAATTAAAGAGGAAGCTATTGGCCCGAGGAGGAGCAAAAGTACCAAAAATCCCAACTCCTACTTCCATGGTTCCGATTAACTTCAGCAATCCGAACAGCTTCGCCCTCAACGCCATGGATTTCGGTCTGAAAACTTCAGTATCTGCTTTTAACCAAGTCCAGGCAAATTATTATGGGAATTCAGCGTATCCCCTCAAGCATGCCTCTGATACATCATTCTTGCCTAATTCCCTGGATGTGATTCAGGGCTACCCTGAAGTTTCCCTTAATTCTACTGATTGGCTTTATGAGTCACTGATCGACAATTTCCCACTTCCGGGCCTCACTGATTTCCAAGAAAACGGTGGCCCCTTTGATGGTTTCGTCTCCACAACAACTTCATCATCCCAGGAAATTTCAGGGCTTTCACATTCATCCTCTCTTGCCGGAAGCTATGGCAACTCTTGGAGTGCCAATGGAATTGGAGAACAGATGGGGATTTTCGTGAAAGTGGAGTCAGAATCATCAAACTATTAACATTATCATTGTCGAAATTCACAAGAAGAAGAAGGGTCAGTCTCAGTCATCATCATTCATCAGAATTCAGAACCGAAGATCATTATGCAGCCATTGTCTAGCTAGTCGTCTAGCCTGATTAGTTTGAAGTTGACAAATTAAATTAAAGTTATTAAAACAAGCATATGGGAAGAAATGTCAAAATTTCTAGGATTAACTTAGTTAATTATTAATCGTTTTCGTTTGCTTGTGTTGGTTGTTAACAATTTAGCATTGACTCGTGAACTTTTGATTGTTAGAGTCTTTAGAGATATGATTTAATGACGTTGAAGTGCGTTTAGACTTTCTGCTTTTGAATTCTGATCATTAGTAATTGTTTTGTTCTTTGGTTGATTTTTGGTATAAATTATCTGATTTTCTAAATTATTGACAAAATATAATAAGAAAAAAATAAAGAAGAAGAAGAAGAAAACGATATGAACAAAATTGGAATCCATAGGAGCGAGAAAGGTCGAGGCGTGTTAATGTCAGCAAGCTCTGTCACACAAACAAGTTAGTACAAATCACAAAGATTGCATGCCATTGTCCAATTCAAAAGCCGAGAACTAATATGTCCCCACCTGACAGTATAATGTAACGTACAAAGACTACCAGGCACACATTCTACTGTGTGTTTTGACTTGCAATGGAAGTGAAGAAAGAAACTGGAGATTTCGTATTGGGCATTCAATGGAATCTACGATGCCAATGCCTCCTCCTTGCCTTTTGAATATTTGATTATCACAAAAATAGAACATGCTTTTTAGATCGTCAAATAAAATATTATGTAAACCCTCTGTCCCAAAATTATTGTCCAATTTGAGATTTCACTTTTAATATAATTTGAACTAAAAATGAAAACTCAAATTAGACAATAATTATGGGGCGGAAGGACTAATTATTTAGAACACTTCAAAATTCTTATACAAAATTTACATTATTATGCTTTTGCAATGCATAATAAATATTTCATTTTGATTTGAGACGAGAGATGGTGCTAGCTATATCATAGAATCATTGGGAAAAAAGTTGTAGTACAAAAACAACTCACGAATGTGTTAAAATCAAAAAGAGATTCTTCTCTTTTTACTTTCTCCTAACTCTATATTCGGGCGCCAGAAGCAGTAAACTCAACTCGCTCGTGTTGCGGTGAAAAGAATCTCAATCTTATGAAGTGGAACTTTATTTGCGTAGGAAGTTCTCAAACCAATGGGATGATAATTTACGGTGTCTTGTTAAGTTTTTGTAGTCAACAAAGTTAATTCCGAAGCGAACCGTGTAAGCATTTTGCCACTCAAAATTGTCAATTAGTGACCAGCCAAAATATCCTCTCAATCTGATACCATTTCTGCCAAAAAAGCCAAAAATAACGTACGTTAAAGTTGGCTTTATTATTATTTTTTTTTTTAAAAAAAAAAAAGGTTTTTTTTTTTGAGAAGAAATGTGTAGGAGGAGACTTACTGGATTGCTCTATGGACCATCTGAAGATGTTGATAGTAAAATCGGATCCTGAAGCTGTCATTAAGAGCATGTGGAGTTGGGTTTGAATGATTATTTACTTCATCAACCCCTGATTAATTCCATTGAACCCTAAATTTGATTAATCTTGTTGCATATAGAAGTCGTAATTGTCATTTTTGCTATATTTTAAGAGGGAAAGGACCGGAGGTTGTACCATTTTCTGTAATATAAATGATGGGGTCTTGGTATCTTGCCCTTACATAGTGTAGGAGATGATAAATTCCTCGTGGATACATATGAAGCCAATCCGAGCCTGCCTGCAAAATCAATTTGGAAGTAGTACTCCTATCTTTTTGTTTGGCAAGATCCAAAATGCCTAAGTACTTAATTCGTCCAAAAACATGACTTAACAAGACAGAATAATTTTTTTTTTTTGGGACAGAAAGAATAATATTTTAATGTCAAAAAAATAAAAATCACAAAGGAATCTACCTGTTGCCCGATAAGCTTGCCATTGCGACTAGCTGCCATTCGCCAAGAGAAAACATGTAAAATGAAACAAACATGTGTAATAGGAAACAATCAAAAAAGTCAACAGTCAAGTACCTGAGAGATTAACATGGCCGTCTGTTATGTATCTTACATAACTCGTATTGGGAGGGCTGGTAAGTTGTGAAGCATATAAGGCAGTGTAATAATTCAGGCCATGGAAATCATACGATCCTTTTAGTCGCCTAGATTGCTTAGGAGTAAATTTAGGTAGACGGTCGCCAACAAGCACTCTCATCTCCGCTGGATAATCACCATATACTATAGGATTCACAAACCTGAAAATTCCATAAAAAGTGATTAGTCAATCGATCGTTGTTTAAGGGTTCAACGACGAAGAAAAGACTAATTCGAACTGAAATAATAGACACTTTTTTCTCTGTCAAAAAATGATTATCTAGTTTTAAATTAAAACTGGAGAATCATTTTTTAAGGATGAAAGGAATATAAAATTACCATCCGAACATAAAATCTAGGGCACGAATAGATGCACGGCCATCCTGAGACGAATTTGTCAAAGGCACCATCCATATAGCCACATTTGACATCCCGATTATACCTTTTTGATGGGGCTGAAAAACATCCAAATCATGACTTTTTGATTGATTAGTCATTAGTCACATGGACGTAGAAGTAATATAACAAGAGGTAACCTGATATCTTCTCCTGTATAGATGAACTGCTTCTGCATGAGCCAATAGTTGGTGATGTGTGACAATATAAGGCTCGGTACCGGAATCCCCTCCGGTGCAAGTCGGATCCACCCATGGCGAACATCTTCCCGGGGCTATTATTCCGTTGTCGTAACCGAATTGACTATAAGTAAATGGCTCGTTGAACGTGATCCATAATTTTACTCGATCGCCAAATCTCTGAAAGCACAAGTTTGCAAAGTCTACGTAATCTTGTCTGCAATTAATACATGCAAAACATGAGAATTTTAATCAATTAATGTACCGAAAATGCAAATCTGACACCTTAATCATTGTCCCGGAAGAGTTCAACCGAAAAGGAAAAATGTTAATCTTAATTTATCATTATCTTCTATACTATAATACCACTAAGAATTAATTATATCTACTTACATAACATTAGGACTCAGGAAGCCACCGTACTCTTCTTCAAGTGCTTGGGGAAGTTCCCAGTGAAAAATAGTTACAGCTGGCGTTAAACCTTCACATATACGAAAATTTTGGAAAAGCATTACAAAATACTTGTACCGTCCCACAAAAAAAAAGTTTTGTTTGTGTTGTATTATTACATTCAACAAGCAGTTCTTTTGTAGTATTATATAACGGATCGAGGAAGAGTTTAGATCTATCAATAATCAAAAGGAGTAGAAGTTATATCATTGCATTGTTACGTACCATTAGCTCGAAGTTCATCGATAAGGTTATTGTAATACAAGATTCCTCGCTCATTTATGCCTTTGCGAATCTTTCCAGCTGCAAACACAGTAAAAAAAGAGGGAATTTAATTACCTGTATGAATGATTTATATTTAACTTCATCCATTTTAAAATTGGTCGTATATTTTGAATTTTTTACTTTTGTAATAATCATTATGAGACGAAAGGTGTTACTTATAAATTGATATTCAAACATAATGATCGATCATGAGTCATGACTTACAGGGAATTACTCGAGACCAAGATATAGAGAATCGATATGAATCAGCGTTCATTTTCTTCAATAGTCTGACATCATCCTGAATGTCGTCTTTGAATTGATCAATTAGATTGATACATATATGTTAAGCGAACCGGGTTCAAGGAATAAAACTGGCCCAAAAAAAAAAAAATCTACTCTTCGCTGAATGAATGTTAGTCTTTGTCTTTGAGGATGACACTGGCTTTGATTAATGTTTACATTACCTTGTACCTATGGTAGGAATCATCTGCAACATCTCCATTGCTGCAATTTGCTATTTTTTCTGTGATTTTCAAAAGATCGATTGACATTGATTAAACCAAATATACTGAACCCACTCTAATTAATTTCATAGAGCAAATATGCAATTTCAATTTTTATGGTTTAAATGAAAGGATTTTCGTTGTTTCCTGGGCTCAAGATTTTGAAGAAATCACTGGCGAAAAAAAAACAAGTTCAGTTAAATTTCTTATAATGTAACGTATTATGTGACTAATTTTTTGTCACAAGATTAGGGTGTAATTTCAGTCTTCAGATAAAAGAGTGGTAATTAATTAACTAGAGATAGAGACCTGGAAATGTGTGTGTAAAGTAATCCCAATTGCTGAGTCCTTTGCCATCAACGTTCCATGCACCTTCCACCTTGGATAAATTGAGGGTGTAATTAAACTTTCAACTTTGAAAGGGATATAATAAGGTGTATACTATTTGGTTTAGTAGTTTGAATAAGGATTGTAGTATATAAAGAAAATTTAATATTTTCAATTTACAGCGCTACTTAATCAGTGTATCAACTCATTTCTATCAGCTTATTTGGATGTTTTCAAAAAAAAAAAAAAAAGAAAAAAAGAAAAAAACTTGGTTAGCCGTTGAGACCTTAGAATTATATCCATCCATAATCCGTTTTAGCGAGGTCAGTTACTAGATTGAGATGTCCAAAAAAATGGAAATAACACTTCTTTATATTAAGACCACAAAACTAAATCAAACAGTCAGATAGAGCCACCAAAATGATACTAATAAAAATGTTTTGAAGTGTAGAAATTAATGAACGAGAACCTGGTAAGAAGAAGTGGATGCCCCAAAGATGAAACCATCTGGAAAACTACTACGATTAAGCACATTTAGTCCAAAACTAGGAGATATAGGCTCGGCCTCGCGATCTATTACATTTAGGCCAACCCTTTTTATCTGAACTCCATTACCATTATTAGCTTCATATCCATGGAAAAGTAAAACCAAGAAAATTCCCAGAAGGATATGTAAACCACCAAAGACTGGCAATACTTCCATGGCGCTACTTAGTTTTGGTTTGTTTTTGTGCAGGTCTTCTTATAATCACCTATCTCCCGCCGGCGGTTGTGTTCATAACGGAAACAATGAGCTAATTGTACCTCATTTAATAATTGAAACTCGCCGGCAGACATCTTTGTTTTCAATGGAATCCATACAACAAACCATTCATGTAAGTGGACTGATTCTAGCTTGTAGGGTTCTAGCCAGCATGGGTAAAACATTTAATATACCGTCTTAAAATAATTATTACTCTATTCTTCATTATATTACTCCCTCCGTCCCATAATTATTGTCCAGTTTGAGTTTTCATTTTTAGTTTAAATTGTACTCCCTCCGTCCCATAATTATTGTCCAGTTTGCCCAAAAAATTTTGTCCTAAAATTATTGTCCAATTTGACTTTTTATGGATCAAGTTACACATTTGTCCTTAGTAAAAAATATTATCCATAAAATCTTAATGGTTAAACAATTACTTATGTAGAGGTATATCCGGTTATTTAAGGTAAAATATAATTAAATTTGACCAAAAATAAAATCTTTCATTTTAGTAAAACTGGACAATAATTATGGGACGGAGGGAGTACTTACTAAAAATGAAATCTCAAACTGGACAATAATTTTGGGACAGAGGGAGTATTATTTTTAGTATGATAGATATGAATAAATATAGGGTGAAAAATTCGCAAGGAATATATAGTGATGGGATGAATTCTGGTGATTCATGATAAACACTGGTTATCACCACTAGGTAGATACACAAAAAAATAATCAAGTTCTTTCCTGTCACAACAATTAATGGTTAAAAAGAGCCTCCTTACGTAGAAAATAGTTCACATTACAAATTATAAATTATTAAAAAGATACTTTAATTTTTAAATTACAAAATAGATTAATTTTTTTTAAGAACAGATGGAGTATTGTTAATTGTTCGTAAAATATTATTCTTGGTACTCATTTATAAAATAACCTAAGATTTAAATTTTCAAAAATGTGGCGATTTCAAAATACTCTAGATAGTGAACATCTTCTCGAACGTTTTTCTTTAAAATTAAAAAATTGTGGATGTATTTAGCGCATGTAGTTATAGCTTTTTTTCTTTTTTTTTTTTTCTTTCCCCTCTTACAAAGAAAATGCATTTTTCCCAATTAAAAAAATCTTAAACGGGCCACATTGTTGGAATGTTGGGTACGAATTTCGGTGGTCAAATGGTTTTTAACTTTTTAACTATTTTAATTTTTCTCCAAATTTTAGGCGACTTTCGTAGTTTTCTCAAATGCAAAGGGTGCAACTGTAATTTACTTCAAAATTCTAGATGTCCCGCCAATATTGTGAAAATATTTTCGGCTGTGGGGGGCAGCAGCAAGTTTAAAAGTTAATAAAACAATTGTTTTGTGAGGGACTCTTTGGTAATCGGCTAATCGCTACTTTGAAATCGTGTTTCTTCCAGAGGCTTCTTGCGCACTCTTCTTGCCTGCGGGTTGCCGGATAATTTCGCCGAGAAAATGGTATGCCTAATGAAGAAAGGCGAAAGCTCCATATTTCCCTTTCTTCTTCCCCTTTTTTCAGAGTTTTTATCCTCATTTCATTTGTCAAATTATGCCGTGAGTTGTTTCCGATTTTTAATTTATCTCGCAAATTAGTAACTCTATTCTTAAATTGATGATAATTTTGCTTGGTTTTGATGCAGTCTAAGAAAAGAGGACTTTCGTTGGAAGAGAAGCGCGAGAAAATGCTTCAGATCTTCTACGATTCGCAGGACTTCTACCTTGTAAGTCGAGAATCCCCTTTTCTCATTCCAAATATTTGTTTAGGGTGTTTGTTAGGTTGAGTGATTTTGGTTGTTTGTACGCAATTTATAAGATGGTGTTTCTCATCTGTTTGTTAAAATGACCGACTGAATTCAGACTTGGTTAATTTGTTTGGGACTGTTTGATTATTTTCCAATGTGGACTCGTACTTGCGTAATGTTGTCATAAATGCCGATATGTTTTTCAAAATTTTATGCCTGAAATGATGCATTTGCTTAATTTGATAATTTCAGTTGAAAGAATTGGAGAAGTTGGGTCCAAAGAAAGGTGTGATCAGTCAGTCTGTGAAAGATGTTATCCAGAGTTTGGTGGATGATGATCTCGTTTCAAAGGACAAAATAGGGACTTCTGTGAGTGGATTGCGCTGATTAAAATTTTCAGATTCCAAATATCTTTGAAGTTTCCTTTGAGAATTGCTCAGTATAATGTTAAAACATACTCCTTCCGTCCCAAAATTATTGTGCAGTTTGGTTTTTTAGTTTTAGTTTAATTTGTACTAAAACTAAAAATCCAAATTAGAGAATAATTTCGGGACAGAGTAAGTATTTGAATGGCATTTTGGAGGGAGTATTTGAATGGCATTTTTATCTGAGAGAAAGTTTGAACAAATACTAACATGCTAGCAATTTTGGCTTTCCTACTCCAGGTGTACTTTTGGAGTCTGCCAAGTTGTGCTGGAAATCAGGTTATATAGTTGTTTTACTTTTACACATCTGGGAATTCTTCAGCTGGCCAACATTTGAACTATTCTAATGTTAAACTTTCTGCTAACAGCTAAGAAACATACGCCGGAAACTAGAAAGTGATCTCCAGAGTGGAAATAATAGGCTTTCAGAACTTACTGAGCAATGCGAGTCTTTGAAGAAGGGACGTGAGGAGTCTGTAAGCATATTATACTTATCCAGAGCAACCTATGTTACCCTATAAATCATATTACTCTGGAAAAGATTGCTGAAATAGCCTTTGTTTTTCCTACTTTCTGTTGGATCAAGGATGAACGGGATAAGGCATTGGAGGAGCTCAAAGAGATTGAACAGAAACATAATGAGCTAAAGGTTGAATATGTTTAATGTATTTTTCACTGAACTGAGAATTGCAACATACTTCTTGTCTTTGGAAATTTCTCAGTTTAATGTATGTTTAATGTATTTCATTTCTCAGAATGAACTTGGGAAATATGCAGAAAATGATCCAGCTACTTTTGAGACAAAGAGTTGAGGACTCTCAGCTGATCTTTTTACTAGTTAACCATTTTGCTTCTTTTTTTTTTTCGTGGAATATGGCTTTAAATTTCAACATGTCAACTTACTTCGGTTTCTTTGTGCTTTTGTTGACAGAGAAAGCAATTGAAGTAGCTCATGCAGCAGCTAACAGATGGACAGGTTTCCTACTTCACAAACACCTAGTGACTTTTATCTTCTTTTTTTTTTTTAATGAAAGTGCAGTTATCTTTTTACATTGTCTTTTCATTTGCACTAATCAAGGGCAATAATTTTGCAGATAATATCTTTACATTGCGACAATGGTGTTCAAATAACTTTCCCCAGGCCAAAGAACAACTTGATAACCTTTACAATGAGGCAAGTATAATTCCTGTGATCAAATGTAATGTTAAAAGAGAGTCCCGCAGGCAATAAGTTTTCTGAGGTTTTCCTAGGACAAAAGCTAGAATCACTGACAGCTTTCGAATTTAATTCCTGAAAGAAAACTGGTACAGATTGGACAGCTGATAACTTTTGTTGTCCAAAACAGGTTGGAGTTACAGATGAATTCGACTACTTGGAGTTACCTGCAGTTCCCGTGGCTCCTATTGAGCAGACCCTGGAAACTTATGATTGAGGACTGTAATTTGACAAAGGACATATTACTGGGCTGTTCCACACTAAGGTTTGAAAATTTTGACTAATTTCTTTTAGATCAGGACTCTGGCAACATGAATGTATATCCCTTGTCATTTGGATCATAATGTGTACGTAATATATCAGGATATAGACATTACAAGCTGGTTTTTCATCTCTAGGTCTTGGTTGTACTTGTTGTTGGAGTGAAAGCAGGGCTCTGTATCTTTTGGTTTTGAGCTGCTCTTTACTCTAATTTACGTTTTAGTTGATATTTTTCTGGGGCGAAAATCGTGCATAGTCTCTGGTGATCTCTTTAGTGGAACAAGTAGATTTAAGGATCTATTATAACGTTTCTTATACGATAGACCACTCTTACACTACAAGGAGTTGGCTGTGATTCTAAAAATGAAAATCCCCTTAGATACAGAAACTGAAAGAGTGGGTAGGTAGAGATGGAGAGAGATATTGAGAAGAAATACGGGAAAGAAACTGAAGCTTCATATCAGTTGTTGAATCTGGACAAGATCAAGATGGTGGGAGGAGTATGGAATATTTTCTTTGGAATATCAGACACTAATAATTATGCTTCGGTATCCAAACTGAGAAGGGGAAAACTAACAGGAACAGTTAGGCCAACGTCCTACCTAAAGCGATAGCGAAATGGCGACAGGCCTGCGTCCAAACAAACACAAGCACCATATTTCATTGTGCCGGCCGGCTCTTACCAAGTTATCATCATGTATGCCATTAGGCCAGACGCTTACTTTGGGACAAGTATTCTTCCATATATTTCAAATTTATAATGTTCTTCTTTTTCTGGGAGTTGAAGTGAGAGTGTTGAGGTGCGGGGTCTCAAGAAATAAACGAACTTTGCAATTCAATTTGTCAGAGAGAACCTAAAACATTAATTCCTTAGTAATCAACGTTTAGAAATTACTCGCCTTTTCTTATAAGAACTATCTCTAAGATAATTCGTAGCTTTTATTTTTACAAAGTTCAACGACTTTCTCTGTCCCAAAAATATTGTCGAGTTTGAATTGTTATTTTTAGTGTAAATTCAAATTGGGAAATCATTTTGTCTAGAGCGATACCCCTCCTCCATTCTAAGGGGAAAAAACACAAAAGTTGACTATTGTAGAATGTCCATGTTGAGGATCAATAATACCGACAAAGTTTACAGCCCAAAAGTCTCCAAAGTGGGAATATATGCTACAGCAATCAATAATCAATAATTAGGAATGGTGCATGTGGCAACTGGCAGTATAAGTTTCATATGTCATCATTGGTTGGACAATGTCCAGTTTTCCTTCCCAGCTCAATAGTATCTGGAAAGGCTTAAATGAAGGTTGCAACTCCATTATTCACCCCCAACCAAGATTCTTCTCTCTCTCCCTCTTCCTATCCTTTATATCTTCAGATCCTTAACGCTAGGCTGCCGTCCCAGTAAGAACAAGAACAGAAGGAAACTCCCCAAGTACTGGGTTCAATTTTCTCCGTGTAGAGACGATAGAATGGAGATGCCTAGAAAGTACTACTTGGTTTTGATGACCAATGCCCTGTTCTTGTTTCTGTTGCTTCCTTGGGCCAATGCTGCCGCCCCTGCACCCGCCCCCTTGCCTTCCAACGATGGTTTGTAGTTCATTGTTTCTCCCATTTTGGTTTTCTTTTGTTTTCTTTTTTTTTTAATGAGAAAAGATAAAATTAGTACTTGTCCTGACGTTGCTGTCTTCTGTGTGATCCGCAGGGATGTCACTTGATCAAGGAATAGCGTACGTGCTGATGCTAATTGCTTTGTTGATTACCTACATGATTCACTGAGTGTCTAAACTCACCATCGAAAATACACTAGTACAGAAACTTGATTCATGGTTGCCTATTGTCTCAGATTTGGAATTCGTGAAATGCACATTCGTTTTGTATTTTATATTTTCCTCGGAGACTTCAAATTGTTGTTTTAGGGAAATTGCAATCCGTGTCTCCTCATGTGTAACAGAGATCTGTTTCCAATTTCACAATCAAAGCCAGTTTTAATTACAGGCTTGAGGGACTTGTTGAATCTCACCATTTTTTAGACTTCTTGGCTGCAATCTAAGGAACGATTCCAACATCAATTGGGAAATTGATTGAGCTTGGCTGAAACAATTAATACTGGTGCGCTTCCAATTTCTTGCATTTCTGAATCTCTCACATAACCAATTTGGTTGGAAAAATTCCCTCCGGCCCACAACTTCTAATGTTGCTCATTTTATGGGGGAAACAGAGGACTCTGTGGGATTTCTCTGAATTTTAAGCTGCATTGCTGCTGGTGGTTTAAACAAACAAGAACATGGATTATCATCACCATCTCCAATCAGTTCCCCCTAAGAAATTGATCGAGAATACGTAACTATTTTGAGAGAAAAAAGAACGAAATGTATGCTGTTTGGTCTACATATTGTGATTAATCAACATGTGTATAATATAATTGGTTTTAGCAAAGATTTCCTATAGAAGTGAAGTTATTTTTATACAGCATACACAAGCTGGATACATCTTACACACAACTTCAGCCATCTTAATTCCTTAATCTCTAAAATCTAAATCTTATTAAGCATTTAATCACTCATGCGTTACGATGATTTGCTAAACTTATATGGTTGTGTAATAGTATTAAAAAACCAAGTTTTATTCCTGAAAAATTAAATAAAAAAAATTACTACAAATAAAAGAATGTTAGTTCCTCCAATGGGGAATTAATGCAAGAAAAATTTATGTTAAAAAGGCAGCACAGTTGATGGCCGAAACTCTGGCTTCTCGTGATGAAGTGGAAATCGTTGCACTGGTTGCGGGACTTGACTTAGTAAAGGTACTGTGGCTAATCTCTTTTCTGGTGGACTTTTAGGATAGGCTTGGTTGTGAGCTAGTTCAGCCCTTTAATTACTCCTATCTGATTCCTTGTACCTGTAGGGTCCTGAAGGGAATGACTATTAAGGAAGGTATTGTGACTATTCTCTCTTCATTTGGAAATGGGATATGCTTGGTTGTGAGCTGGTTAATCCCTCCTACTCCTATGAATCACTGTTTGTCGGTTTCTTTTTCCGTGTAGAGCCCTGAACTGTATCGCGCCGATCATACTGATTAGTAAAGGGGGAAAAAGATTGGCTGCTGGATCTAAAGTTGATTCGGTGTATGGTTATCTGAACCGGGGAAACCTGACTAGACTAAAAAAATCCGAGTCCAGCTGCTGCAAATTATTATCCGCATTCAAATTTTCCTGACGAAGAGTACGGCTCATTTTCCTTGTTCTCTTGCACCATCTTGCTGTTTCCTTGAAATAATAGTTTTGACACGATTTAGTAATCTTTATTTGTTTTGCTTTTTTTTTTTGTAGAAAATATCGTGATTGCTGTGTTTGGTCTGTTCATGAAGCTGCATGGTGGGCGAAGAGAGCCTTGTGTCTTGCTGCTTCTTATGCTATCGATTTTCCGGAATTAAATTTGGTTTGGTCTCTAATTTGAAATGGACGAGTATTGTTAAACATAATGTGATCTCAAATATTCTAAATTGACGAGTCTGTCAAAACAGAAATAATTACACTTGTATTGCGTGAATCAAAGACATCTCACATGTATCATATATCCAAAAACCTTGTAAAATGGAATGGATCCTTTTTCCACGTGAGAAAAGACACTGCAATTTTGCATAAACTAAATCAAATATTAATAATGGAAAAAGACAGTCAAATAAAAATCAAAGACCAGATTTTGTAGAGTAACGGTATAACTGAGTTAAATTCCGACAAAAATTTATTATGTAACTGTATAAGTATGTAGAGATCTAGCACTACCAAGAAAAGGCCCTATTAACGTGTAGAAAGGAAAAAGGAAGGCTCAAAGTGCCATTTCGGCTTGCAAGGCAGCAAGTTCATCTTCCTCGTCAGATTGGCTTTGAGGAGCAGGTTGCCCGCCTGCTGTTGTTGGTACAGGAGCATGTGCTGGTCCAGCATGTTTAGCGATTGGAGTTGGAATGATCTCTTCTTCCAAAAGCTGCGCCTCCATTTCATCAAGTTCCAGTTCCAATTCCTCCTCGTCAATATCGTCGAGGCCAGAATTCTTCAAAGACTCCTGTATCGTTTTCAAAGTCTCAGTTTGTTCATTTATCTCGTCCATTGTCTTGTCAATGTCATCAATATTCCTGCGCCAACAAGAAGAAGAAGAAGAAGAAGAAGAAGAAAAGTTTTAGCTGACACGAAAGAAGCTAGACAAAGCAAAATTCAGCCACCAGTCTTATGAAAAATCATCATCAAAAAGTTAGTCGACAGAAAACGAGAAAACATACTGACCCAAAGAACCAAACCGAATAATCTCAAAATGTGTTATAAACAGGCACAGATTACTTACGTTGCTTTTTGCATTGCTTTCATTTCAGCTGCTCCGATTTTCAAAGCTCCAACAGTTTCCATTGTAGCTTTAGCGCCTTCCAACAAAGCAATCTGCGCATCAAAAAATCTCAGAATAACTTGGATTGTATGTATCTATAGGAAAGAATGCGAACGCATGTATCCAAATACAGATAGATACACACACACACACACAAAGAGAGAGAGAGAGAGAGAAAACCTGATCATCAATACGCATCTGGAAAGTACCAAGATTGAGTATTTGCTGCTCATAAAGCCTCTTTCTCTTCAAACATTGGATAGCAGCTGCAGTTAATTTTGAAACAAAAGGTTAGCAAATAAATGGTACAATCATTTACATAGGAACAAACCAGGTCAAAGGAAACATGCACAACTAAATTCAAAATATACCCCTCTTATTCTTATTTTTGGAAAATTCCTTAGCCCGTTCTACCTCAGCAGCTGCCTTCTTTGTAAGAACTTTCTCCTTCTTTTCTAGCATCCCTAAGGTCTATATACAAAAACAATAACACTAAAATCATTAAATCTGAAGGGGGAGAAAAAAAAAAAAAAAAAAAAAGAGCCACATAATTAGTCCCAATGAAGTTGTGTGTAGGCTCAATCTCTATTTGAAATTACAAGAGTGTAACAAAAACCTCTGGATTCTGGAAGCCATCTCTTTACTACGCAGCAATAAACATGAAGACTGACAAAAACCAAACATCCGCAATACCACAAAGCCCAGAACAGGCTCATCCATCAATCTTAATAAGAACAACAACAACCTAGTCCAAACAAAAATTGCTCTCAAACAATCAAATAACCAATACACAAAGAAGGTTAAAAAATTCCATACGATGATGACAAGGGTTGTGTGTTAACAGCACCAATTAATGCTTAGTAAACTACTACGACAATGATCTTCTTAAACCCAAATCAATGCCACACGATTCCCATTGGTAGTACAGAAACATTGAACATTACCGATTCCAATGTTCCGAGGGTTGCGACAGTTCTGCCGGTGTCCTCCTTCTTCCGGCCAAATAGCCTACCAAGATCAAAAATCATTGCCGGTTGGACGTATACGTAAGAGTTATTATTCTTTCTACGATTCCGATGATTTCCCTGCAATTATGTATGTGTCTTTGGATAAGATAATTAGGGCTATCAAATAACAACGACGACATGCAAAGGGCTTTGTTGGTCTTTTAAAGACTTTGCTTAAGCGTGTTGATAACTTGATATCCTACTACTATTTTGTTTCCGTTCTCCAATGGGAAAAGGGAAACATGTTGTATTCTTTCTTCCTTCCTTAGGTGGGCTTTTCTGTCATTTTAATCTTTTTTTTTTTAGAAAAACCAAATTACCAAATCGACTTGAAAGTTTTACAAATTTACAAACCTCAAATTGATCTTGGCCCCGTGGGCTAAGATTATTTGAGGCCTGAACTATGAATTATAAGTATTGAACTAATTATGTTATATTCTGTGTTTGATAATAATCGAAATTTTCAAGTCAGTCACAAACACAACTAAAGTCTAAAGTCTCAAATTAGTAAGATTTGAAAAATAAAAATAAAATTAATTGTCTACTTGTTTATAATTATAATAATATCATGTCATATTTTTAATTGTAAAAATATTTTAGATACTCAGATTCTTAAATGTCAAGTTCCTACGGTACATAAATATATAGGGTACTTCACTTGCATAATAACTTTTCAAACAAAATAAATACTAATATTAATAATGAAAGATATATTAAATAAATTTTTATTCACAAAATTGACCATTAGTAGGTTAACTTGAAGAGTAAACCACGGTCATCGAATTATTGGATAATTTCATCACAGATCATCAATCAAATTTATTAATAAATAGGACCTTATATTAAGCAAAAAATTCATCCGATGTTATTTTGTTACTTTTGGCCATTAATTCACAAAGAAAAACTATTACTATTTTTCACATCTAAAACACGTGAGTTGGATCTAGAGGCAATTTTGTCATTTTTTTATTTTTATTGCTTCGTTGATTAACTAAATAATTCACTGAGATACAGAAACCTCCCCAGACCTCTAGATTCCCGGTTGCCAACTGCCATTTGTTACCGATTCGGGATTCTTGAAAACACATCTTTTTCCAAAATTATTATTCCCAACTTAACTGTCAATTTCATGCACATCGCATTGGGAAGGAGCTCCATTCCATTTTACAGGCTTAAGAGAAGATCTGAAAATGTGCCTGTCAGCATTTTTAACATCACATAGTTTTCTAAGCAATTGCCCCTATTAGTTTAGTTCAAATACACGCTCCACATTTTTCGAGCATATTGTTCACTATATAATTATTACAAGTTACAAATATACTCGTACAAATCCAAAGGAAGCATGAGCGTAAAATATCTAAGATTCCTTCAGGATGAGTAAACCAGAAAAAGAGCATCTGTTATGAACTGAATCTTCTTAATAGTAGTACAAGGATGAAACGTTAGCCCCAGAATGAGAAATTCTGCAGAAAACTCAGTTATCATAACCAATGTCAACATATACATCACCAGAGAGGTAACAGAGGAATCCTGTTATTGAAACTGAGCAAAAATAGTAGGACACCAGCCTTATAGATAATAATAATATACACCGAAGACAATACGACCACAATCTTCCATATCACTACAACCTGTAGTGCCTACAATTCACCAATAATTGACAAACAGGGCTTGATGGACACAGACCCACATACTACCATATAAGCCCAATGAACGTGTAGAAGGGAAGCTGCTCAAAGTGCCATTTCGGCTTGCAAGGCAGCAAGTTCATCTTCCTCCTCAGACTGCCTCTGAGGAGCAGCCCTAGCAGGTTGTTGCTTGGCTGGTTCAGGACCAGGTACTTTCGTAGCTGGTTTAGCGATTGGAGTTGGAAAGAGCTCTTCTTCCAAAATCTGCTCGTCCAATTCTTCAAGTTCCTGATTCAATTCGTCCTGCAATGAACAACAAACACGAATGACCTTCAAAACATCACAAATAAAATTTCACAGGTACAGAGTTTTCAGCAGATAGAAGAAGTAAGCCAGAACCTCATCAATATCATCAAAGGCAGAATTCCTCAAAGAGTCCTGTATCGTTTTCAAAGTCTCAGTTTGTTCATTTATCTCGTCCATTGTCTTGTCAATATCATCAATATTCCTGCGCAAGAAAAAGAAAGAAATAAAAATAACTTAGCTGATACAAAGAAGCACGAACATTCATGTAATCCCCAGCATAAAACCACCAGGCTTACAAAAACTCATTCAGCAGAGAATGCTCACTCAGCATAAAAAAAATTCTCAAATGTATTATGAACAGGCATAAAACTTACGTTGATTTTTGCATTGCTTTCATTGCAGCTGCTCCAGTTCTCAAAGCATCGACAGTTTCAGTTGTAGCTTTCGCTCCTTCCAACAAAATCATCTGAGCATCCACAAATGTCAAAATCACTTGGCTTGTATAAATATGAAAGAATGCACTTCATAGATATTTGTGTTTATTCCAAACACACAGATCAATAGTCTGACTTAGAAAAAGAGAAAGAGAGGGTGGGGCAGGAGAGAGAGAGAGAAAACCTGATCATGAATACGCAATTGGAAAGTACCAAGCTGTTCTATTTGCTGCTCATAAAGCCTTTTTCTCTTCAAACACTGGATAGCAGCTGCAGGTTTGGAAACAAGATTTGGGGAAAAGAGTCTCATTATTTCATAACATAGGAACTAGGTCAAAGAAAACATGCACAACCAATTCACAACATACCCCTCTTATTCTTATTTTTGGAGAATTCCTTAGCCCGTTCTACCTCAGCAGCTGCCTTCTTTGTCAGAACCTTCTCCTTCTTTTCTAGCATCTCTAAGGTCTAGAAACAAGACACAAGTAGTAATGACACTGAAATCAGTAAATCTAAAGGGTGAGGGAAAAAATCAAGTGCCACATAAGTCCAAATGAAGTTGGGCAGATACATGTAATACAGTTTTAGAAAAAAAGACATTTTTAGCTAGCAGGGTTCCATTAACACTGTTAGAGTTTATGATGAATTTTAACATCCTCATTGCAAGGATCTGAGACGGGGGGAAATGAGTCTGCTAAGAAGACTGATTTTTAATTACAGCATTCAAAAGGTTAAGAATGCAGTATCTTTTACCCTTTGTGGGCCCCAAAAAGGACCAGATAAAGCACAACGTCTCTCGCCTAATTGTAAAACATATAAATAACCAGAGACTCACATATTCAAAACATTATTACCATAAAAAGGAAATGGAATACATTGAAAAGAGATCAAATGCTGGTGTTCCATCTTAGGTATTCAAGATAATTTGCTAGCAACAAGCCCCCCAAATTTAAAAATCATTCTCGCAAATCAGCTCAAATCACACCAGAAGCAGAAATTAAAGATATTATAATACAATTAACATGTTGATATTGCAAGCGAGAAAAATCCTTTTCTACTCATAAAAATTACAGCTTCAGCTACACCTGTTTCGGGAACAGTACTGAGCCAATAGCCAACTAATAGTTCTCAAAATTCCAAAAGCTCAATTTCACATCCGCCACTACACACTAAACAATAACACTTTTTTGTAAGTTAGAGGAATCTGAGAAAAACGTCAGTAACCTATCTTTTAGACTATGGATAAAAAAAACATTAAGACTGATAAAATCAAGCATTCATGGTACACCATTTTCCTTAAAAGAAGCTCAGAACAGGCATCAATCTTAAGAAAAACCAACTCCAAAGCTATGAGAAGCCTCTGTGAACAAAATAAGAATTTCAAAAATTAAAAAAGCATTAAAAAGAATCCGATATGCAATCATCAGACACCAAACAAACCATTAAACAAATCAATAGCACAAGATTGGAGTTCCGAAAAAAAAAATGATTCCTACCTCATTCAATTTATCAAGGGTTGCGACAGTACTGGTATCCTGCCTCGGCTTGCCAAATAACCGATTAAACATCTTGCGGGGCAGATGTAATAATTATAATTATACGATTCCGATCTCCTGCAAATTGGACACACAGGTATTCTCAGTAACAAATCCTGATCGCACACAAGAAAAAAAAAAATTAAAAAAAGGCATCCCCAGATTCCAATTTCTAATTCCAAATAAAGATCTGAATCTCACAGCTGATAAACCTATCGACCAGATAACGAATTTGCGTACCTTCGGGAGATGAAAATTTAGGGTTTCAGAGGGGAGGAGGAGGATTGATCGAATCGACGAGATTCTTTTTCCTGATGAAAGAAATTGACCAAATATAAATGTCTTTGGATAAAAGTGTTAATTAAACTGGGGCAATAAGATATACGGACAGAATGGGGGGCTTGTTGGTCTTTTTGTTGACTTTGCTTAAGCGTGTTGTTCTAATGGCGTTTCAAACGGAAAAGGTGACATTGGGTGGATTTTTCTGTCTTTTGCTTTATTTTGATCAAATTACCAAATGGACATGAAGCTTTATTAAATTACAAACCCCCCCCTGAAGGCTAGAAGAATAATAATAGCAAGTCTCCGAAATGATTATTTATTGAGGAATTTTTACTTTAGTATACGTTATACTAATTTTTTTTTTAAAAAAAAGGACAATTATCTTTTTTTGGTACAATGAATGAGGTTGTTGCCTTAACTCTAGACCATTACAGTATGTTGGTGCGACACACCAACTATGTCATGTTTTAATTAGGATCGTACAGTAGACGGAGAATCATCTAAGCACAATAAACCACCGGGGCTATCCATCGTTAAGGTTGCTAATGAATCAGAAACAAAATTTAACTCCATGTGTATATGTTTCAACTCAGCTGATTAATCATTCTTCAACAATTCTCGTATAGCCAACACCATACTCTGATGCACACCACAAATCTCTTATGTTTCCTTGACCATCTTAACAACACTTGACCATTTCTTATGCAAGGAGCTTCCGGAAACCTAACTCCTAGACTAGATGCAAACCTTAGAACAATCCCCACAACTCAACCCCTGTAATTGGGGCAAAACCAACGTTTATGATAAAACCGTTGCACCACCAACCCAAGTGGTCCTTTTTTTTTATCAAACCCAAATGATCTCTTACTAGCCCTCTTGCACTCGCCATCCCGTTGGAGGCATCAAAAGAACAATTATCTTAAAACAGTAGGAGTACTAAGTCCCACATTGTATTGTACAAAAATTATGCAACTTATCAATTATAATGTGGATTGTTTTTCTGAGAAAAGAGAGCAAATATGTTTGGCAAACCTCTCAAAAGCAAACAAAAATAAAAATAAATAATCATAATAATAATAATTCAGCTCTTAAGCGCAAATCCTAATACAAAATAAACAATTCAATTTACATTTCAAAATTTAACTTAAACATTATTTTTATACAATTTTCATCCACCACCACTAGATTACCTCAACCACCGCTGGTAGTGGTGGAGGAGGTCCAGTGGTGGAGATAAATATTATTATTTTATTTAAAATACAATCCAAACAATTTTTCAAAATTTTCACTCAAATAATATTTTAAATCTCGTCCTAATCCAAAGAAAAAATGAAAACAAAATGTTGTTCAAACAAAGTAAATCTTATATTTACAAAATTTATTATGAAATTTCCTTATAATTTATAATGTGTGTATCATAGTATTCATTAAATATTAATGTGAGATGAAAATATCAAATGAATTTTAGCTTTAAAAAATCACTAAATTGGTTAAGGGGGAATAATGAATATTTATAATTGAGGACCCTACAATTAACTTAATAATTATTTTGCTACAATTTGTTTTAAGTCATCTCAATTATTTAAATTGGAATTGTTTGTCGATTTCACAGAGTTCAAACCTTCATCGAGTCCTCCGGAACAACTACATTCGTCAGTCCCCCAGTCAAACACCCCACTTCGGAAAAATCTCTCGCAATACTGATTGCAGCGATCATTTCTGCTTGATAATTAGTAATGGGGTTCTTCAAAATGTCAAACACCCCACTTCGGAAAAATCTCTCGCAATACTGATTGCAGCGATCATTTCTGCTTGATAATTAGTAATGGGGTTCTTCAAAATTCTGGTATCTTTTATCGTTTGCTGCTGTTTTGTGGCTTCTGCTAAGTTCGCTTCCGCAGATTCCTTTCTGAGTAAAGAAAGGTTGGTTGATGTTCCTGGCAAGTTTCTTAATATGGCGAAAAGACCGGATCTTTTGGAGTGGATGGTTCGTATTAGGAGGGCCATTCATGAAAACCCTGAACTTGGTTTTGAGGAATTTGAGACTAGTAAACTTATTAGAACTGAGCTTGATAAAATGGGAATTCCTTATAAGCACCCCGTGGCTGTTACTGGTGTGGTGGGCTATATTGGTAGCGGAAAGCCGCCCTTTGTTGCCCTCAGGGCAGAAATGGATGCCCTAGCTATGCAGGTTTATCCACCAATCCTTCAAAATTTATGATTGCCTCTATATTAATTTGCTTATTCAATGAGACGTTTCTTGTTAATCTTGAGTTTGAGGTTTTATTCACATGTCTGGGATGGTAAAATTTGTTGTGGATATGGAATTAGCTTTGAAGTTTTATTTGACTCTTGAATATGAAATTGAGTGAAATTTGTCTTGGGTTCTTGTGGATTCTAATCTGATGTTTGAATGCTGCAGGAAGGTGTTGAATGGGAACACAAAAGCAAAATTCCTGGAAAGATGCATGCTTGTGGACATGATGCTCATGTTGCCATGCTCCTTGGTGCTGCAAAGTTGCTTCAAGAACACCGAGATGAGCTACAGGTCCTGGTTCATGCTCCTTTTGCTTTATTAAGGCTGCATTAATATAATGCGTGGGTGTTATTTCCTTTCTTTTGCTTTACACTGGACTTTTTGATTTTAGATAATTTATAATGGAACCTTCTTCATATTTCTATTTAGAATTAATTTGATAAGGTGCACTCTGTTACTGGAATAGCAGTAGTGTAACAACTGATCGGTTTACTGGTTGTGATTTTGAAAGAAATTGAATTTGATCGCTTGAATGATTTTCATAAAAGATTGCCATGTGCATTTTGTTGTTGTGTATAGATGAGAACTTATATTGGATTTGTTCCTTGATACAATCCTTTTTGAGTTAAATGTCACTGATTCTATTCACCTATTTAGGGTACTGTTGTTCTGGTTTTTCAACCAGCTGAAGAAGGAGGAGGAGGAGCTAAGAAAATGCTAGATTCTGGCATACTGAAGAACGTTGATGCTATATTCGCGCTGCACGTCTCTTACAAATTTCCCATCGGAACAGTTGCTGCTAGACCAGGGCCTATTTTGGCAGCGAGTGGTTTCTTCGAAGCTGTAATTAAAGGAAAAGGTGGGCATGCAGCCCTTCCCCACACCAATATCGATCCTATTGTAGCAGCTTCTAACATAATTGTTAGTTTGCAACATCTCATTTCACGTGAAGCGGATCCCTTAGATTCACAGGTTGTATTCCTATCTATTTTAGTTTTGAGTTACTGTTTCATTGCAACTAAACAGGGACTTCTAGTGCCTATATTTATTAAAGTATCAAGACCAACTGTTGTGATTACTGCATGCATATTTTTTCAACTTCTGGTAACTGATCCAGAATAGTTGCACAACATTTTACCACAATAACTATGCTTTCACCTCCATTCTTCAAGTGATCTATATTTGAGATTTTTCAGTCCACTCAAATGCATGGTCTTGGTCTTGCAGGTAGTAACAGTTGGAAAATTCGAAGGTGGTGCCGCATTCAATGTGATTCCTGATTTTGTTACAATAGGTGGAACATTCAGGGCGTTTTCAAAAGACAGTTTCACGCAACTTAAGAAAAGGATTGAAGAGGTAAGTGTGGTAGTAGTCCTGATCCCTGATACCTTTTATGAGAGACAATTAGAACCATCAATTTGCAGTAGCATTATTTCTTTCCAATTTGAAGGTTGATTTATTTTCCCTTTTGGGTTTGCCAAATGCATCTTATAGGTAATTTTGACACAAGCAGCAGTACAGAGATCCAATGCTACTGTTGACTTCAAATCAAATGAGAAGCCGTTTTACCCAGTAACTATAAATGATAATCAGTTGCATAGTCATTTCCAAAATGTAGCTGGGCAAATGCTGGGTGCCACAAACATTTTACAATCTACACCCTCCATGGTAGCAGAAGACTTTGCCTTTTTCGCTGAATCAATTCCTGGGTTCTTTTATAGCATCGGAATGCAAAATGATACCAAGGAACAACTCAAGCCAGGGCATTCTCCGTATTTCAAGGTAAATGAAGATGTCTTCCAATATGGCGCTGCTCTGCATGCATCATTGGCTGCAACTTATCTCCTTGACCGTCATCCAAAACTATCTACTCAAGACAAAAATATGCATGACGAGCTATAAGGTCTCGGAAGTGGTGCTTCTTAACGTAAAATGTGCAGAACTAGTTGGATTTGAGGATAACCATGCAATGGACTACCTTCACTGGAGCAAATCAAGAAGCAATAACTGAATCTGCTTGATGCAACTTCTGTTTTGTGGGAAATATCTCTGCCATTCTGTCCTGATTGTCGAATGTCTAACCATTCATAAATTACTCTCAAGTTCCGGAGAGAAACAAAATGTGACCGAGAAACTGATGTTGATCAGTCGCACATCTGGAAGTAAATGTTCAAGCTTCAGGAAACTGAAGTTCCAAGTATGGAAGATCTGAAAGTGCAAATGTCCGATACTCCTCGTGTTTGAGTGGATTTCTCAATTGGACGCAGTTGTAAAATTTGTATGTAATCTTGCAACAATTTCAACTGATGATCATCATCATCATACCGTAGTAAGTTTAACCATTTTATCTGTTTGATTCGAAAAGGAATTCCCTTTTCTGGTACTTTCAAATCAAGAAGTTACCAGTTTGCTTGTGCATGGACACAAGAAAGGAAACAATTCTGCCAGCATCACACGGCTTAACATTTGAAAGATGCATTATTTCGCTTGAGCTTATCTGCCCAATGACATATTTATGGTAATGCAAAAAATATATTGATACCTCTGTTGCTGTGAGTCATCTTCCGTCATTTCTGGCCAACTTTAATAAGAATTGAAGGCAGAGATTGGAAACAATTTTGGCGTTCTGAAATTGGGGAAGTAAGGCAAAAATTACGCCTACGTCTTACTCTGTTTCCAAATTGTTTTCCAGAGCTAATAAATTTAGTATGAGCCATCATAGCCTGCAATCTTCGGGTTCTTCTTCTTCTTCACGCACTGACGAATTTCCATCAAGATCTCTCTTTGATTGTTAGTGGACAACCGCAAGGATGTGGTTTTTGATTGCAGCTACTCCATCCACAAGTATGGCGAGAAAAGATGGAACTTCACGGGGAACAAGCAGGACTTGTTTGATGCAGTCGGAATCCGTACATTCAATGAATCAGACCCCTGTTGATTTCCAGAATGGTTCTTCCCCACCAAGATTCCGGAGATCAATGATCAAGAACTACTTTTACAGATACATTGAGTGTTACAGTCTCACCTCAAGGCCCGCCATCCAAGGGGTGAACAGCCGGAATTTGAACCAGAAGACCACAAATTGGAGTACGAATTGCAGCGCAGATTCTGTGGAACGACAAGAGAATTTGAATTCGGCCATCGAATATTGCAAGAGCTCCAGCGGATAAATCATTTGGGCTTGCAGGTTGTTAAGTTTTCACTTTTTCAGGAATGCAGCAAGGGAGTAGCATACTAGTTTTCCTCTTTTTGTTGCCTTTTAATTTTTTGTTAGTCATTGGGAATAAGATATACAGTTCTTGGTCTGTTGGCCAGGTTTCATGTTACAAATTTTCATTGTATCTTATCCTGTTTACGAAATTATTGATCCTGAATCAAAATTGAAACCGTTGTTAGATTTTGGAGTTGAGTTTTCATGGACTTTCTGTTATTCTGGAATCCAATACAGTTTAGATCTCTCACAACAAGGACTATTGTCCTTGACATTTTTGCTGTTACTTTATATCTGTTGTCCTACTGTGAAGTTCGCTTCTTCTGACAATCCCGGGAAGTTCCTGAATATGGTGATGACAACCCAGTTCTTGGGAATGCGGATTTTGGCACTAGTAAACTTATCAGAAACCGAGCTTGATCAAATTGATTGTGGGTAGCTATGTTGAGAGTGAAAAATCCAACTTTTGTTGTACTCGGATTAGATGTGTGGAGGCTTTAGTTAATAATAATGCAGGTTTATCCACGAATTCTTTAATTTTGTTTTTTTGGGTATTTGTATACATAGCCGTTGATGACATTTCTTGTTAATTCTGAGTTCAACATCTTAATTTGATTATTTAAAAATTATCTCAGAAGTTGCAGGCTGTTACTTCAACAATACTCCTGGAATGATTTGCAGTGGAGTAAGAACTTTGTCCAGCCCCCTTTGTTATATGATTCTGCAAGAAATTAAAATGTTTTTCAGCCTGAGTTTCTGTTACTGGACTCCAAATATTCCCTGTTTTTGCTAACCTGCTTGATGCAACATTCATGTTATCAAAAACATCTGCCGTTATTTCCTCATCACCAGGATGTTCAACCATTCATAAATTGCTGAAAATTAGAGTAGAGAAACAAAATGTGGCATGGGGAACTGATACTAAATGCATTTCTTCTAGGAGTCTTCATTAGTAGTAGTACTACTTAACAGACTAGTCTCTTGAAAACTGAAGTTCCAAGTATGAATTGACAACCCGAAGGTGCAAATGTTGTCCATTACTCCTCTGTAAGCCCATGTTTGAGTCGTTCATTCAACTATGGGCAACTGTTTCCAAATGTCAACAGCACCAAGCATGTTAACTGATCGATGATCGGGGCATTCGTATCTTTCTGATTCCCACTGGATATCTGATTGTACCAAGTTGAGTGAAATCAAGAAGGATAAACAGAAGGAAGCAAGACCGCCATCGTAAACTCCGATCTCTGTGTATCTGGAGGGGTTCGACATGGCACATCTCCTCATGTACCAGAAGATGAGATGATGTTTTGTAGTAACTTCTATAGACGAATTTGTTATATCAGTGAAACAAAAACTGAATTCTTTCATAGAATTCTGTAAATTTAAGGTAAGATGCATAATTTTGCTTTTGGTTTTTCGCTTTTCACTTGTTTTAGTTATTATGGCCAAAGAACATCTTTATTGTAATGCTAAATATATCCTAATTTCCCAGCTGCAATGACCCATCATCCGCAAGTAATCTAGCTGTAAAGCCCATCTCAAGCCTCTAATTAATCTGCATACATTTAGGACACGGTGAATTTAAGGGAGAGATTGGAGCCAATATTCATGAGCTGAGAATGGGAAGAAGGCTAAAACCACGCCTTTCTTTGTTGAAAAACGAATACATTAGTTCGTATAAAATTGAGGGGTTAGTCCTCAATCTTTTGCATCTACAGGTTGTATAGAGACTGAATCTTCTTCTCACGTCTATCTGCTCGACTGATCCGGGATAACGATGTGGTTTCTCAATGCAGCTACTCCTCCATCCACAAGTATGTCAAGAAAAGATCGAATTTCTCCGGTAACAAGCAGAAATTCTTCCACCAAGTCGGAATCCGTACCTGTTGATTTCCAAAATTGTTGTTGCCCGCCAAGCTTGTGGAGGTCAATGATCAGGAATTTGAACAGATACATGGGTTGCCTCAATCCTGCCACAAGGCTAGCCACCTTAGGAGTCACCCGCCAACATTTGAACCAACGCACCACGAATTGGCCTAACTATTGCAGCATGGATGCTGTAGAACTTCAAGAGAATTTGCATTCGGCCATTGAATACTGCAAGAATTCTAGAGGATAACCTATGGGCTATAAAGTGCTTTTAAATAATCTCCTAAGGTTAAGTTTTTGGGTATGTGAAGATTAGGGTAGTTGTTGCCCCTCTATTGTGGCCTTCATTTCCTACTTCACAACCACCTCGTTGAAGATGTAATATTATGGCTGCGTCAAGCAGCAAAAGACTCTACAACTGGTTTTCTTCCCTATTCTTTACTTCTCTCGCTTCCATAAACTTCAAAGATCGAGATACGTATGTCTTTTAAGCCAATAATCCACATAGCTTTCTGTTCACTTTTTATTTTGAAATCCATAACCAAGCCAATTAGTGGATTGTTTTGCATGTCAATTTGGATCATTTTGCGGTAACTCTGGAATTGAAATGGAAAAACAGCATATTTCTTCGTTGGCTTTATTTCACATTCAAACGAAACTAGAATCGCAACTGCTGATTTCTGTAGGAATTACAGAGCTTTATTAACAAATACCCCCTAAGATGAAGAAAAACAGGGGTAACTCCTGTCTACCCAAAGGACATAGAGAGCAAGGTGAAACCGCATTGGACTAAGAACAGGGTCTGTCTAGACAAACAATAAAGAGATTGGTGACACTACAGGCAGCTTTCAGTTGACTCTAGTTTAGTTCCATAATTTTCCAATCATCATAGCTTTTCAACACCAACAGGTATTCATCTTCAAATTAAATTTTTGACCAACAGGTATTCATGTTTCAGATTGATTTTCCTTCCCATTCCACAATACAATACAGTATGTTGTATTGTATCATTTCAACCGCTGTTCTCCGGTTTTTAAGTATATAACCAAAGGCAAATAGCCGCATAGCTTAGATTTCTAATTCAAACTCTACACAAATCAAAGTACAATTGCATATAATAATCACAGAGAGATACACACTTTACTAATCCAAAAGAGGACGACGGTGAAACAAAGAAAGACAAAAAATTGGGGCCAGTAAATTTAGAAACTTTTAAGTAAGATTATCCGGAGATTAAACATATGATTGTGGAAAAACTAGCACAAACAATGCTCGTCAAATGCAATGCAAAGAGGGGAAAAGAACAGCAAGAGACCATGAGATTTCAATCTCAAGCAAACACAAAGGGAGCAAAATCTTTAACTCATAAACTATGGCATAAAAATTACTAAGTCGACATTTAGTACCAAGGTGATATTCAATGAAAAGTGCACTAAAGTAAATAAACCATTACAAACGAGGGCTCCCAAAACATCATAAAACTAGGTTAACACTAGAATGCCCCTAGTTTATTTCTCTGATGAGTTTGGTCCTTTCTTCTTGCCAAAGCCAACAACTGCAAAAACAAACAGAAAGAATTATAAGGAAAAGGTTTTAAACACAGAATGAAAAGATCATTAACATTACTGTCAAAATCATTCCTCCAGGACAAGCTCAGACATTTATACAAACAAAGAATGTCACCACGGGAATCCCATTAAAGTAAACGAACTAGCCACTAGGCAAGGTAATGCTAAGAGCTGATCACCTTATGAAGCACAATTTATTGCCAAACTGACGCACTAAATTAAGCAACAACTCCTTCCAACTAAAGTTCAAATTTTTGTTTCCCAATGAATTGAATCGACCAAACAAAGCAACTGCCTCCAAAAACCCTAATCATTCCCCCCTTTGAATCTCAAAACTAAGATCTAATTTAACAGAAAAAGCTACCAAAAATCCAACAGATTAAAATGGAAATTGAACCAATTCCTACGTTTCTCAATCACTGCGAGAGTTATCACCCAAAAAAAACAATAAAAAGTTCCAGAACACTTAAAGATTTTAAATCCGAAAAAAGGAAAACTTATGTAGATACTTAGTGGTAGAGATGGTAAGAGGGATCAATAAATATTACCGGCGGTGACGAAACGCCTGTTGTATTGCATACGCTTGTGAGCACGGCCGCGGGGCTTCTTCTTCTTGTCCTGCTTTGCGACCTTAGGTGTTTGTCCTCTCACCTTACCGGCACGAGCCAAGGAACCGTGCACCTTACCTGTTCATCACCACGATTGTATCAAAATTTATGCAAAAATTTCAACCATAACTAAAGCTCGATTATGAGGAGAAGTAAAGATTATCAAAGCTTCATTCGGATTTTCGACATACCCATGGTTGTCGAGGTTGAACTGCAGAAAGATCTACCGCGGAGGTGCTGCGACTGCAAGAGGCGATTTGCTTCCCGATGAAAATGGGGGTTCCTTTAGCTAGGGTTTTGAGGTTCACATATATATATATATATCGAAAAGGTGGGCTAGGTTATTTGTCTAAGCGGTTTGGACCTTTCCAGTCGGGGCTCTAATGACTAGCTGTCTAGCTCGATATTTTGGGCTTGACAAAAAGTTGTTATTGGACCTTTACAGTTGGGCTAAAATGACGATCTTAACCTTTTCAGTTGGGCTAAAATGGCAATGTTTAACGAGATTTCTGAAATCCGCAAAGAATCTCTTACACTAGTTAGATTTTTACATAAGAAGTGTGTTATAATAATATGAGTAATGTGATATTCATCTTACCTAATTCAATTTACTATTCCATTTCACCTTAAATGGCATCTGTTGATAGGGTAATTTATTTCTTACTTTTTATCTAAATAAATTAATTTAAATATTATCATATTTCTCATAATATTAGTCCTAATGATAATATTTTATATTATTATAACTTTGTTCAAAAGGGTTTTTTTCTTGAGGTTAGTGTCTATTTATTTTAAAATCATGTTGTTATAAAAATATTCAAGAAGTATATAAACCTAACCAAAAAAATAATTAAATTAACTTATTAGATTTTATTTAATAATTAATTAACTTATGAAATTTCATCCAATAACTAAATGTCATGTAGGGTGAGATGAAAAGGTGAGATAAATTGGGTGAGATTTATATCATCACTCTAATAATATATACTAGAGTTTATGTTGTGGCGTAGGGTGGGAAATAGGCGACGAATGTAGAATGTGTTAGCAGGAAGATGAGTGATTTCTGCTTGTTACAAACTAACAAATTTTATTGGAGTTTAACTATTATTAACATTATCAAATTCAAAATTTGAAAAAAAAATCATGAAGTTTAGCTATTGAATTTTGTTATAAAACAAAAGAACAATTTTCAGTAATAAAATATTCATAAATATTTTTAAATTATGAAATAGTCAATGACAATTGAAATATTATTAAAATATAAAAAAGATTAAAAAATAAATAAATAATCACATTATTTTTTGGTTTTAGTAAAAGTTGTGATTCACCATATAATCTATAACAATTTTTCACCAACTATCAATCGTGAACCATGATTCAAAGTCATATGCTTATTGTAGCACTCCTAATATTTTAACCATTATACTTTACCTTATTATAATCATATAAAAGTAAATGTATATAATGTTATAATGTAGAATGCTTAATATTGATTCAAACTAAACTAAGAACTTATGCTTGTTTAAGGTTAAATAACATGTATTGTATAGAAAATGACGTACATCTATGAATTAGTTTTAGAGAAAAATATATTGAGTCAATATAATAATATTTAAATGACTAATTAAAATAACAACATTTGAATGATAACAAATATATTACTCAGCCTAGTTGATTAGAAGAGATGAAGGCTTTGTTTGTTTGGACGTCCATTCACTTTTCATTTTCAACTCAATTTACCTCTTAAACACAAAACTCAATGTAAAACAAACACCCGTCTAAACAACTTTCTGATTTACATTTTAAAATCAAACTTAAAACATTTTGTTAGTGTAATGACCATTTCTTGAACTAAAAATAGTTCCATGACTAAATCCAAAATTTTTGCACATTTATTTCAGTTTGCCTCTAATAAAAAAACCGAGGCCCAATTCATGGTGGTCAAGAAAAAGTTATTTGGAATATTTATTGAAATATCAAGTACGACAAATATCACTAAACAATCGAAAAATGTCAATTTTAGTCACTGTAAAAAAAGAATTTAAAAAATGATCAGTAAACAATAAAAAAGTGTCGATTTTAGTCACGGTAAAATATTGATTTTAGAAGTTGTTCCGTGATTTTAGTGATCATTTTACAATGGCAAAAATCGATATTTTTCTGTTGTTTAGTGATCCTTTTTGAATTTTTTTTACAGTAATTAAAATTGACATTTTCCAAATAACTTTTCCTTACCCACCATCTAAATAGCTTTTTGCTAAAAATATCATCCAAATAACTTTTTCATCCCTATTATATTTATTTAAAATACTTTCTACATTCAAGTCGAAAATGAAAACAAAAGCACTAATTAATCTAGTCAAAGGCAATAAAAGTCTCAATTAGAATCTTCGTCACCGTTAAATACCAGATTCACATAGTCACATTAGCATAAACGATCGTTTTAATTGGAATTCCAAATACCCTTTCCTTTTTTATAACTAGGGTTTATCGCGAACAACAGCATACCCGTTTGCTTTTCTCTCCTTCGCTCTCCCGCCTGCCATAGCCACAGAGCACACAATACATCAGTAGAAGAGGAGGCAAGAATTCCAATTTTTGTAATTCGTCAACAATGTCGAGTGATTTAGCTCCAACTTTAGATGGCCTGTCCTTGGCGGGCACCGTGGAGAAGGCGGAGTTCTCCCAACGCGTCCTGATCCGATCCATTGTGAACCGTCCCGACGGCGGGGAAGGTCTTGCCGGTCAAGTTATTCGGGTTGGAGGATGGGTCAAAACCGGCCGTGAACAGGGGAAGGGCGCCTTTGCTTTCCTGGAACTCAACGACGGTTCTTGTCCGGCGAACCTGCAGGTTATGGTGGATTCCGAGGTTTATAAGCTAAGCGATTTGGTGCCCAGAGGTACTTGCATACACGTGGAGGGCGAGCTGAAGCTGCCTCCCGAGGGAACCAAACAAAAAATTGAGCTTAGAGTCTTGAAGGTTTTGCATGTGGGGACTGTCGATGCCGCCAAGTATCCTTTGCCCAAGGGCAAAATTTCTCTTGAAGTTCTCAGGGATTTTTCTCATCTTCGGTCCAGAACTAACCTGGTAATTACTTATTTTTCTTTTTCACTCTTTTGTTTTCCGGGTTGGTGTTTTATTGTGTTTTTGGGGGACTTTCTATGGAGATTGTGTGATTTTGTTTTTGAACTGATGTACTTGAAAATTGTTTGATTCATTACTGGTTCGGTACTATACAACAGATAATAAATAAGGCTGATTAGGTAGTAGTATAGTCAAGGTGGAGGTTGGGAATGCTTTCTTTGTTCCCCCCTTCCAGTTTTTCTTCTTCGAGCTATCTGTAATGTATATGTTGAGCTTTTAGTTGCATATATCGTAGGTATTGGATACGATTTTCAGTACCTATGGCATTTTACTACATTGGGAGGTTTGAATATGACAAAGTCTGTTCATCCTTAAAAATTCATGTATATGTTTCAAAATCTAGATAAGTGGAGCTGTAATATTATCTGTACTCACAGTTGATCATATATTTCTATTGCTAGATCTCTGCCGTTGCTCGAATCAGGAATGCTTTGGCTTATGCAACGCATACATTTTTCCAGAAGCACGGTTTTCTTTATATCCATACTCCTATCATAACTACCAGCGACTGTGAGGGTGCTGGAGAGATGTTTCAAGTCACCACTTTATTCAGTGAAGCTGAAAAATTGGTGAAGGAGATGAAGCAAAGTGCTGTTGATCCTGCTGCTTTGGAAGCTGAGATAAAAGATGCAGAGCTGATTGTTAAAGAGAAGGGGACGGCTGTTGCTGAATTGAAATCTGCAAAAGCAAGTAAGGATGCAATAAAAGCTGCTGTTGATGTGCTGAAAAAGTCACAAGAAGATGTCAAAAAACTTCAGGAGAAATTCAAGCTATTAGAGAGAGTTAGGCTTAGTGCTGGTTTACCCACAAGGGATGGAAGGATAGATTACTCCGAAGATTTTTTTGCCCGTCAAGCATTTTTGACTGTTTCGGGGCAGCTTCAGGTTGAAACATATGCATGCGCTCTTAGTAGTGTGTATACGTTTGGACCAACTTTTCGAGCTGAAAACTCACATACTTCAAGGCATCTAGCAGAATTTTGGATGGTGGAGCCTGAGATTGCCTTTGCAGATCTCCAGGTATATTTCAATCATTTCCTGCTTTCAGATATTTATCAAAATAAATCAATGCCATTTGTTGTCTGAAAGATGAGATGGGTCTGGTGATACCATGTAGTATGGTATTGGAGACCATTTCTACTTGAAGATTGTGAGCTTAGTGACATCTTGAAAGTTGACATATTTGAGGATCTGCTACTCATAAGATAGAGATTTCAGTGGTGCAAATAGTTAGACTCAGAATTGCCTCCAAATCTCGTCTGATGCATTCTTATTCTACATGTTTACTTTTTGGTCAATGTCTTTCCCTAAAGCTTTATCTTTTGGCAGGTGTTGTATTTTTCCTTCATGTGTCACGTTACTATTTTGTTGTGCTAGAATATGGCTGAGTGGATTCTTTTTTGCAGGATGATATGAACTGCGCAGAAGCATATGTGAAATTTCTGTGCCAATGGTTACTTGATCATTGCTTTGATGACATGGAACTTATGGCGAAAAATGTTGATGGAACTGCTATTGATAGACTTAAAGCAGTAGCATCGAGTGACTTCCACCGGATATCGTATACAGATGCAGTTGCAATTCTCGAAAAAGCATCCGAGGTTAAGAAATTTGACAACAAAGTAGAATGGGGTATTGACTTGGCATCTGAACACGAGAGGTATTGCACTTATTATATACTTCTTCACTTGTCTGATAATAAGTTTGTATACATGTGTACATTTTGAATTTTGTTTTTTCCATTGCGTAGATATTTGACTGATGAGGTGTTTAAAAAACCAGTCATTGTGTACAACTACCCCAAAGAGATTAAAGCCTTCTATATGAAGGTCAATGAAGACCAGAAGACAGTTGCAGCGATGGATGTCCTTGTACCAAGGGTAGGTTTTTCCTATTTGAGGCAGGCAGTAGTTTTAGTTGATTGTATGCTGTTTAAGATAGTATTTGGTCATCTTTTGTGAATATTTGCTTGGAAAGTTGAATATTTTGCTTATTGGTTGATGTTGTAATGCCAGATTGGAGAACTGGTAGGAGGAAGCCAAAGAGAAGAGAACTATGAGGTTCTTAAATCAAGGTAACCACTTTCCTGCTTTGGTGCTACTGAAGTGTGAATGATAGTACCTCAAGTTTTCTTCCATTGGTTGTGTTCTGTTTTTCTCTTTGGGATATATATGGGTATGCCGACTTTTTGTCTTGGCCAAAGTGACTCTTTAGGAAAAATCAAAAGGCAGGTCGCTGATGCATTTGAGTTGAATTGCAGGATTTTGGAACTGGGCTTGCCACTCGAACCATATGAGTGGTATCTTGACCTGAGGCGGTATGGGACAGTTCCACACAGCGGGTTTGGTTTAGGTTTCGAAAGAATGCTGCTTTTCGCCACAGGAATTGAGAACATCAGAGACGTCATTCCCTTCCCAAGATACCCGGGAAGAGCTGATCTCTGAAACTTGAAAACAGGGGGATATGTGCATTGTTGTTACTTGGTTACAAAGTTGGTGAACCAACTTTGTCACCTTGTGATTCTTTGTTCTTGTGAAAGGTTTAACCAATGTAGGTTATATTCGAATACAGGAAACAAACAGTTATTGTTGGATAGCTAGCTAGCAAGAGGTTTATTGCAGTAATTGGTAGATTCATATCTGGATATTATTTACTACATGTTTACAGTTCACACTGCTTTGTCAACTCCATTCTCAAGCGTAATTTCAAACTAATTAATGCTAACTGAATTGGTAACTCATCCCTCATCAGTTATAATAATCTTTACTTTCATAATTCTACTTGGTGAACTTTTAAAAAAAGGCCACAATAAAACCGCTGGACATGTTGGAGACCCTGTCGTACAAAATGTTGAAAATCAAAAAAACCTAACGACGTCGTACGTATTAATTTCACATATATATATGGAGAGGGAGGTGCAAGTTGCAAGTGAAAAGAGTAGGCGAAGGAAGTGGAAAACGATGAAGAATCTCAAGAGAAAATGGAGGAAATCAGGTGGGGGTGATTTGATCGAAGACGAAGATGACTTCTCTCTTCCCACAAGCGCCGATTCCCGCCCCATGGAAACCCACGGTCGGAGGCTCACTGATTTCTCCATTTTGAGTAGCCACCCAAGTAAATTTTATTGAAGAATATTTTTATAATCCCTTTCTGGGTTTCAATTTGCAGAACAGGAGGAGTTGGTTCGATCATTGGAAAGGATTCAAGCTCAACAATCTCTTCTTTGGAGGGTATTTTATTTGATATTTTCATTCTCGTTACCTTTTCTTTCTTGTATAATCATCAGTGCTGATTTACTGCAAAGTGTTTGCTGATATTGTTTATTCTTTCGGTCGTGATTGGCAGAGCGTATTTTCGGGGCTGCTCGTGGGATACGTGGTGTTTCTCCTCTACTCAATTTATCACCAGGCCTATTATCCATGGGAATTGGTATTCCATCATAGTAATTCTTTGTCTTTACTATTCTTTTGTTCTCTCTTTGTGATGGTTTCGGCCTTGAGTTTCCTCATGTGCTTGCTGAAAATGTATTGATATGCATGGAAGACAAATGTTGGATAAGGTTCCAAAGTTGTCAATTCCGATTGAACATTTGTAGGCTGCAAAGAAGCTATAATGCCATAAATGTCATTAAACTTGTTCAATTAGGGAGAGGATTCTACTATTGGCTTTATTAAGTTGTTTAGTGGCCGAATGAGGTTTAACAAGATCTTCTCTTCCCTTGAAGTTGATTCTCGTTTATATCTCTTCTGGCTTTTGTTGTCTCTCACTGATATCGGAATCAAAAGTGCCAGTCTTTCATTGAGATAAATGTTTTGCAAACAGTTTCAAATGCTTCTGATAAGGAATTCCATGTTGATACTTTTTTCTTTTATGAACAGCGATATCATGCATACTTTCTATATGAACTTGACTCAAGGAGCATCATAACTGCAGGTTGGTTGTTTTTCCGCTCCATTTTTCGTGCTGTGGCTTGTTGGCTGGTGTCAGTTTTTGGTAGATAACTACTCAAGTGTCAATAATCAAAATAAGGCATAAATTTGTTCTTCATCCTAAGATGCGATTAATTAAACAGTGACAGATGATGTGATATAAGCTTCTACTTAATCTGTTACCATTGAGATTTTCAATTTCTTGGCTTCTTGCTGCAAACGACATGCTTTAGACAATTAGGACTTGCTTATATAGCTCTGCTGCTGACTCAAATGGCATGACAGATTGGGTGGCTATTTTGGCATGCTTGATTGCCATTAGGGGTTTACTGCATAACTCGCGGCATCAAAGGAAGTGGCTCTGGTATTCTTGTTGTCCTGGGGTACTAGTGATGGTCTTCTGGTTACGTCACATGCTGAGGTTGGTAATTGTCGAACTACATCAATAAACCCTTTTTGTTCAGTCTTGGACTTTATCAATGACGTTAGATATTTAACTTCTGACTTGCATTTGTTGTTCTAATAAGAGATTTAATTGATTGGACCCATGTTAGTTATAAGAGCCTTCGAGATTGTAACATTCTGATCTTTATGAAATATAGTTCAGAGATGAAACTTGTAATTTCAATATGCAAACAATGTTAAAAAAACTTAAGTTGAAGACTTGAGCCATCTATACATCTGGTCTGATGAATCACAAGGCCATTTCGTTTGGCAGCTGTTGCACCATTTTCATTTGCTTTTTTATCTTTTGCAGATTGGCAAGTTTTAGATGGGATGTTTTGTGGCTTCCTTTAGGTCCACTGGGGTAAGCTTGCTTCAGAAAATTTCCTATATGTGACTCCTCATTTGCTTCTTCGATGACTCTAATGTGATTCTCTGATAATAATTAGTGGCGCTGGAATCTGCCTTTATGTGGACCATTTACTTAATGAGTCATATGAGGAAATCAGAAAACTTCGAGGGTACATGTATTCTTACAAAGCCTGTTAAACTTTGTGATGGATCATAGAGAGATGATGGTTGGCGCAAGGAACACGATAATGGGAGATCTTCCCGTTCGGGAGGCAGGGTTCCTAATTCCAATGGAACGAGGTGTTCCAATGGCAACAAGGGATGGATCAATGCTACCTAAGTGAAATGTCCGAGGATGTTCAGTGGTCTATTCTAGGCTCAGTTTGCATCACTATGTAATTGCTTTCTCAACATGACTTTACAGCATAAATTTTCAGTTCAGATGTCGGTCTTGGCTGCATTACATGATGTAAGGTTTTGCAAGGTCACTTTGACTTTAACCTGTTCTTTTTGTGCTTATTAAACTTCAACCAACCTTCCAGAATAACATGGCAGCCAAAGAAACCATTAAAACTAGTGTGTACCCAGAAGCAATACTTGAGTTTCAACATTCAACAGTTCATATTGTGGTAGTTTTTGTGACAAGACGAACAAGACGAAACCTGAAGCCCGCATAAAATGGTGATCAACAAACAATATGAGTATCGCAAAAAAGAACTACTGTTCCAACTCAATAGAAGTTCAAAAATTAACAGAGACTCTGGTACCCAACACATGTCCATTATAACTAGTAATCTGTTTTCTGGAAGCAAAAAAAGAGAATAAACTACTCGTCATCGTCAATGATGGTGGTGCCTAGACCCCCGAGGCCATCAGCTGGGATTTCTGCAACAGTGACAAGGGAGTAGAGCTCTTCCTTTGCATCCTCATCTTCGTTCCTCTTGCGAGCAATACGAACTCTGATACGTCTTGGGACACTTCGGATCCCCCTGCTCCAGATGTGTTTGTTGAGCTTCACATCCACTCTGACATCATTGGTTCCCATGGCTTTCTGAGCAAATTTTCTGATCTCTTTAATGGCTTTAGGAGCTTTCTTCTTGAAAGTGCTGTTATGCGCAATAACAACATCAGAATTAGACCAAACTAGGATTGTATAAAGTATGAAGCCAATGGACACTGGCAGGATCCATATTACAGGGGAATAAGAAATTTTGCGGGATTGTCCAGTAGCAGATTCTAGTTAAGACAGAGAAAGCATTGGCAAGAATTTCATGGCCAAGGGGAGCTTAATTCCTCTATTTTAAAGCAGATTCATTCACCCAACAGTTTCCGTCATCTTCTACAAAATCATGCAAGCACATATAAAATCCCTTTACACAACTTAGAAAGACAAACTCAAAGGCAAAACTACTTCCACGCTGTTCAATGTGAATATTGGATAATCCTAGTTTTAGAAGAACAGTCCTTACTCCGGCTATCACATAACCATAAAAGAATTTACAATTTCTACGAATTACATTCTTATACTATCTCGAATTAGATTCACAAGTAACTGGCATTGAACATAGAAATTCAACAAAAGCAATTTCGTTGAGTTAAACAGTCCTAAAAACACAAAACTACAACTCCAATAGTCAAGTTTACACAACAACGTTTTAAAATAAAGGCCGCAGAATGCAACTGGAAATTAAAGGAGAGAAAAAAATCTGGGTTCTGATAATTTACCAGCCGTGCAAGCGTTTGTGGAGGTTGATGGTGTACTCCCGGGTGACCACATCCTCTTTCCTTATCTTGGTTTTCTCTACCATTTTCTCTGTCGGTTTCACTGAATCTGAAGCCCAAAACACAGAAGCGTAAATCAGCAAATTGAATACACCGGCGAATTAAGCGATAAGAACAAACGGCTCAAGTGGAAGTGCATCAACGCAAACGTGAAACAGTGTGTGAGTACGTGAGTAAGAAGAAAGAGAGATTGGGGGAGAAGGGAGTACCTTGGCTCGAGACTTTCAGACGGTAAGCGGAGGAAGAAGAGGAACAAGAGCTGCTGCAGCCGACAACACACAGGCGAAATGCAGGATTCAATGTGGTAGGATTAGGGCTTCACAATATAGACCAGACCGATTGGTTTTGGGCTATTTTGGGCCTTCTAGTGTCTGAATTGTTAAGCCCGTTATATGAACTTCAGGAGGGTAAGTTTGGACCTTCAGGCCTATGATTTAGATTTAGTAGAGATTTTTTTTTTTTTGGTTTACAAGAAATGTTGACTGAAAACAATCTAATACAGAACCAACTCAACATAAAATCGACTCGATAATGCCGCAAGCGCAAAGCCTTGCAGAAAAAAGAACGGCAAAGGAATCTACAAATCTAGTTGTAATAATGTATTATATATATCCAAAAAAATTTGTGTAAGTAACCAATGTTAATCAGTACCAAAAAAATTATACATCTCTGCCCACAAACCTCAGGAACCGGACTAACGAGCAGTACTTATTGTTCTCCAACCTGTCCACCCTTGATACTCCTTCAGTCTCAAAAACAAACAAGGAGAAAACACAACCATTTTTTGTCCTAGACAGCGGGTATGCTATCACCGATGACAGTTTCTAACCTCCTTAACTTTGTCCTAGATCTAATACATACATTTCACTTTTCAGCTAAGGTGATCTGCAGGGCACATTGGAGCGGTTGTCCATATAAAGCCACGTAATCTCCTAGGATATTTGTTCTTTGCTCAATCATGAATTTGCACCTTTCACTAAGTGATGGGGAAAAAAAAAAATACTCCTTGATAGAGGCAGTGGCGCCGCAACGACTTGAGGTGGAAAGAAGATGAAGGTTTGCTAGGATCTAACCGCACTTCTTGAATATCTCCACAAACTAAGGCATAAAACTGCTAACCCAGCGATGCCAGCCAAAAACTGCAATGGTGAGAAAATTTTGAGCATAAGGTGAAAGATGTACAGGGGCAAATTCTCAAAATTTGTAACTCACAAGAAATTTTGGAAGACCTAAACTCTTACATAATAGAAAAGATTCTCCGAACTCAGCGTACATTGTGCAAAAGAACAAGAAAACTATAGCACTAGCTACTAAAGGAACATGGCAAAAAAAAAAAGAAAAAAAAAACAAAAACACACCGCGGAAAATGAAACAACTCAAATCACTGACATAAATATCACCAACTAGATGTGATATCCATTTACTCACACGCATGGCATCAGTGAAGCCCATAAAAGAGGTAACCAATGACTGACCTTGGCATCACCAACATAACGGTTTCTCCCAGACTGGATTAATGCTTTTAACCGTTTCAACCGAGATGCCTGAGGCATAAGGATCACAACAGTGTACTGCTTCATGCAAGGAAAAGGAAGAATTCTCTGGAGTGCTAACTGTGCTGTTAATGGCGTCAACTTCTCTCTCACTTTGGAACGTTCCTCATCTTGAACCTGTACATGTAAATCTTTAAGCATATCTACCCAAAAGCCGGTTGTAGATTTCGAGTTTACAAGTTTGAAAAGAAGTAGAAAGCTTTTTCAAAAAGCATTCATTTGAAACTTAGTGAGCTCCCATGGATCTTAACTCCAAGAACCATCATGATTCAAAACCACAAACCCCTAATTATTCACAAAAGTTACAGCTAGAAACCAAATTCCAGTCACTGGATAGGCTCAAATCTATATTTAAATCATATTCTTTTGCAAACATATGGAAGACATTCCGAGAGGTTGGTTTCAAAGAAAAGGTAAACAGGGTTACTTTCAAAGTCTGCACACCAGATAGAAAAGAATAGAAATCGATTGCCTTTGCTGACATTAAATTACCCCCCAAAAAAAGGATTCAAAAGAAATAACTCTTATTGTGATTTGTGATCCCAGGCTTGTGAAGAAAACAGTATACAAAGTTCTCTGAAAGAAGGTTTGTTCATCTAGATAAAGTTGTTCTGTGACACAAACCTGAAACGAAGTACCAACATCACCAGAATAGAGCCGTGATTGATAGCTTCTTAAAATCCTATCTAGCCAATAAAGATTTTCCTGTAAAAATCAGACAAATCAGTAGCAGAGCAAGGAGTCTCAACTAAAATCCATAATCCTACACCACAAGCATTTCTGCGATGGTAAATATCAAATTCACAAGGATTTCTTTTACCTGCAATCCATTTTCATGAGCTCTTTGCTCAATCTCAAGAATTGTTGAGACATCATCATTTGAAGGACCTTCCTCTTGAAGTCGGGATACCTCATCTAAAGCAAGATTCACCTGTGAAAGGAAAAGAATAATAAATCTTTGCAACAATGCCAAACAATGGCCAAATTGAAAGAAAGAAAATATACCAATGTTGAAGATATTTCCGGATCACATGAAAAATTTATGCTTATATCACCACGGACATTGCCAACTTTTGAAGGTTTATTGCCACCAAGGAAAACAGAAACTCCAACAGAGTAAATCTGGGTATTACAAGTTTTACCGAATGATTAGATTCAGAACAAGAACCATGAGGATAAGGAATCAATGGAAAACCATGCTAACCTGTCCATGCTTGAAACGGAGGACTTGTAATATCTTTGTTTCTAGAAGCTTGCTTATAAAACCAATGAAGTGAACATCCTCCATCTACCAAGCAAATAGTAAAAAAGAGAATAATCATCAGCAGTGGAGAAAAACATACCATCCAAATGATTAACAAAACTTAATTCGACTGGGAGGGAAAAACATATGTACCATGTTTTCATTCTTCAGCTCAACAGGAAAGCATAGCTGGACCAAACATTGTGCTTCCACCATGGGGCTGTGGACAACTTCTCTGAAACCCAAAGCAATAACTGTATTAGCTTCCTGGAATTTATAGAATAAAATGTCCATGTGGACATCTGAAAGCACCACTAAAACCCAAGTACACTAATAGTCTTCACATAACCAATATTGGATAACTTTATGTTTTTTCTTTTACACTTCTTAAAGGCAGCATCTGTTACTTTCTTTTACTGAATGTAAAGAAAATTAAGTTCTACATACCTAATTATGGTTGAAGGGAAAGTAAAAGGCAATCCCTTGAGGTCATCCCGGTTAAAACTTAAGACGGGTTCAGAAGGCCTTGGTATACCTCCCTGCATAGCAAAGTTGGAAATGTAAATCAAGTTTTTGATATCTCCATGCATGAAGTAAGTTCCTATACTGCTTACCAAATATTGCAGAATCAAGGGGCATGCAATAGCAGGGTCGATATTCCCAACAATCACCACTGTGAAGGTAGATGGATCCTTGAAACAACTGCTAAAGTATTCACAAGCTTTAAGTGGATCAACTTTTTGAAGGTCACTGATTCGTATTGGCTGCAGCAGAGTATTCCACATATCAGTTGCATAATAAACAGAATGAAGCCCTAATAAGAAACCCCTTAAAGAAAACCTGAAGTTCGAACTTACTCTGAAAAAGTAAGAGTTCCCGTAATTGAGTTCTCTCACACGATTAGTAAATGCAGTATAGGGGTCTCTATCTTGAGCACGCACTGCTTCTTCTGCCATTTGCATCACAATGCTAACATCTTCTTCCCCTGGTTCCAGGTTGGTCGTAAAAAGTTGGTAGACAAGCTGAAAATAAGCAATGAAAGATATTTGAGCAGGATATCACCATACAACAGGAACAGGCTGTGCAAGTGTTTAGCCATCCTACAAAATGCAAAACCTACTATGTGACACAAACAACCGCCACAACAATAAATACTTGTAAAACTGTCATAAATTTAAAACAAAGCAGTCTGAAACTTTAAATTTTTCACTATGTTCTATAAAGTCAATGTCAGCATATGAGGCATAAAAATCACAGCTCTATCTACACAGAGATAGAAGCAACAAAAAATAATGTCCAACCAGCAGAAGACAAGAGTAAGTACTTCGAAAGCAGTCCTTTAATTCTTTAACCACAAACCTAGACATGTAAACTTCAATATGGCCAGGTGGCAACCATAACTTGTAGATATTATCTCAAGATTCTCAACAGTAGAAACAAACCTGTAAGGCAGTTTCTAAGTCTGAAGGTGAACAATCACCAGAAAAGGTTCTCATGTACGCTCCAAGCTTCGTACCTACTTCAGCCCTTTTACCAGCGAGCATGTCCATGAGCATTGAAGGTCTATAACCAAATACACCAATTTCTCCAGCAATTGTCGGGCCCATTGAACAGGAGAAATATTCACTCTCCGGAAGCTCAGATAAGCCCCCATAAGAAAACCCTGTGAATATAACCTATTCAAATAAACAGACAATCAGGAATATGTTTAATGAAAAATGAATCAAATCAGTTCGATGTTCTATGCTTATTGGAATTTAATTCAAAGCTGTCTATTTGGCAGTTCAACTCTATTTAAAAATAAATGAACATCCACTATATTAATACCACGAGAATCCCAAAACAATTAAGGGTTTAAATAACTGCAAGTCTATCTCATGTTCGCGCTCTTAAACTTCTTATTACCTGATCGTCTAGAAAGTCGGTGCATTTATAGCAAACTCGCATTCCGTTGGAAAGAATCAACTCTGTTGCAGCTATAGTAGGATACTCAACCTGCTGGATTATTGACCTGAAAGTACATTCATGCACAAACAAATCTACAATCAGGAGAAACAATTTAAGACCTTCTGATCTCAAGTACATCACTACGAATTCATAATAGTTTGAGGAGGAGAAAAGAGGGGGCGGGGATTGGAGGATGGGGGTGGTTGGGTTGCAAAATCACAATAAAGGAACAAGAAATTAGACCAAAATAAAAAAAGTGATCTAAGCAAATTTGATAACCAAGGCAGATAGAGTATACCCTGGATTGGGTTTGGTGTGGACAATTTCTTCTGGAATGTCCTCATCATCCCAAGGAGAAATAACATTCTCTTTCTCGAGGGAATTGATCTTCAACACAATTGCATTCAAATCATCCACATTGGCTGTTGCGTGTGGTTCAATTATCTTTATGACACAGCTGGATGAAGTCTGGAAATTTTCCGAATATCTTGATACCTCAGATGTTGTGATATCTAATCAAATGCAAAAGTAGGCAGAAATGTTATATTCACTTTGCCTTCTCAATACTACCAAAGATCCCAGAGAGTCAGGAAAACTCACAGGGTAGAAGGGTTTTATGGAGTTGTGCTTCATGCTCAATCCCAACTACAGGTTCATCTCGCAGAAAATGCTAAACATGAGATGTGAATAGCATTTAGACAAGGTGTTCATCTGAAGAAAAGCGGCTTATACATGGCAAAAGATCATAGATAGACACAGAAAAGAAGTTTTTCATAATACCTGCAAGTATTCATCTCGTAAACCTGTTGACTGCATTTGATCCCGTTCTAAATACGCAGATTCAATCTCTGACATTAGCAGCGCACGCACAACGGCTATTTCACGATCAGAAAACCCATGCAAACGAACCCTAGCAACCTGAAATGTAACACCTTTTGCATCAGCGATATGCATAAACATCCTCTTTGTAAAGTTGGATAGAGGGATTACCTCGGTGAGCATTGATTCGAGAGCAGCTATAGTTCCCTTCTCTTTACAGGATGATGTCATTATATAGGCTTTACTTGGATGAACAAGGACATCCGCAGCAGCAGAGCATGAGAAATATGGAGGATCTTTCTTACGGGATATTTTAAAGAATCTCTGATTCAAAGCATGAAAAAACATAGACTCAGCAAGCAAATCCCTGTAATCCTTCACCGTCTTCAGCTCTTCAACAGGCATCTTGCAACTAATCATCACTGCTGACTGTGAGCAAAAAAAATGTAGAGTAAATGAAGAAAAAAAAAGTAGCTATCATATGTACCATAAATTACACGAAGATAAAATTTATCTCCTTCACTTTCTTGAAAAGGAAGCAAACTATAAATTTTATTGTAAAGGCAACAAGGTTGGTGAGAAGCTGACCCCGGCAGCTTCAGAATCCACAAAACATGAAAATCTTGGCTCTTTATGTGACGGAACAGGAAAATACGGTATAACTGGAGGGTCTGGAGCTGAAAATTTAGGTCCGAAATGAAGCTTTATCAACTCAACAACACTCTGCATTTACGAGCCATGAATAGCACAATACAAAGTCAAATCTGCTTAATTGTACAGGATTTTAGGATTGTTAGACATAATTGAAAGTCAAAAGAAAGTTGTTCAAACCTGTGTATCAGGAAAATCTCCGACGGCAATAACGGCCATATTTTGCAAATTATACCACTTCTTGTAAAATCCCTTCACTACCTCAGGCGAAACTGTTCGGATTACCTTTTCCAATCCAATAGGTAGTCGCTCAGCATACTGCAGCCAAAATAGAATCATCACCAAGTGCAGAGTAACCAATTTTAGAAAATAAATAAATAAGAAACTTATTGAAGCAAGATTTATGTAGGTTGAGCCAACTACCTTGGAACCTTCCATCATAAGAATCCAATGGGCATCCTGCATCCTACCGTTTGCATTTCTATTTACTCTGTACTCTTCCAAGACAGCACCTCTTTCTTTTTCAAGGTCATCCGTTGATACACGAACCTGCATACGGACACAAGAAAGTTGGAAACACATACCATAAAACTGAGGCACCGTGAAACCAGAGTTAACTTAATTTTAGCCAAAACTCTTAGTAGTACCTCGGTACTAAATTCTGCCAAAACAGAAATAGCCTGGGACAACAGTTCAGGCTTGTCAATGGGAACGAACAACTCATAGACAGTTTCATCCGCGGAAGTAACAGCATTTTGACATGCCCCAAACTCGGCTCCAATGCTCTCCAGAAATCTGACAATGTCATGATTAGTGTAATTCGTGGTGGCGCTGAAAGCAAGATGCTCAACGATATGAGCAACTCCACGCTCCTCGTTTTCTTCCAAAACTGAACTGCCATAAAATAGAGAAACTGAGCTTGGCAAACCTAATGCACATAACTTAAGCACACAATCACATGCCGCAAAAGAGGGCAAAAAGCTATCTTCCTGAATGCAATGCGGACATCACCAAGCGTAGCATGGCAGACATCAACCACAAATTTCCATCCCTAAACCAAAAACTCGAGAGGGAAAAATGGAACCAAAAGCAGATTTCAGAAGCTTTAAACTGAGCACAAATTTAGGGGGAAAAGATAGCAAAATATTACAGAATTTCACATCCCCCTTTCTCAGTGCATGTCCAAATTACGCCCTTTTCCAAAGCAACCCAATCCATATATCAACGGCCCGTTTGCATCAAAAGCAAGCAGAAAGGGATAAAATAATAATGATAAGCAGCAAAATAGAAGTACAAACCCGGCCTTGACAGCAAGAGAAAGAGCAGCCCTCATCCTGGGCTTGGAATTGGATCGGACATAGTAGGTGAGGCCATTCTCAAGTCTGCCATAGTCCACTCCAAAAGGCTCTTCCGGTAAAGGGTCGTCCATATTCACGTTGACTAGCTTCAACGACCGAAACCCACTCTTCCGTTTCTTCACCGTCTCCGAAGCCTCAGCCGGTAACAAATCCATTCCTTTTTTGTTCGGGGCCTTTTTCAGTGTTCTTTCTTTTTCTGAATAATAATTCAAAGATTGTGTTTTTGGAGTAGTTTAATTGTTTGTCTTCAATCAAAGATGATGTATTACCGGAGCTTTCCCTAGAAAGCAGTTCTCGGTTGGGTTTTATAGTTTACAGATGGACGAGGAATATTTGCTTTCTCTTGGAGTATGATTCCATTCTTCACCTTTTTGGTGAAAATTTTTGGTTTATTAATTACTCGTAATTATTTTTATTCGTAATTGGTAATTTTATATCATTGGCCACCATATTATTCAAAACATGTTTATTTGGTTTTCTATATTTTTTTCCCATTGAAAATAGGGAATTTTAATTTTCTTGTAATTTGATAACTTGACTTCATAATTGAAGTAAAAATTATAATTCTCGAATTATAACTTTCTCGATGGTCATATTTCACATTAAATCACATCATGTACTATGTGATTCTATGATCTTTAGTATTTAATTAAGTGTTACAATCATTAACATCAAATAATCGCTCATAAAATTTATACTTTCAATATATAAGAATTTAATTCATTGTCAAATTTTGTAAAAATTCTTATACTGAACAGCGCTCTAGGATTACTAAAATCATCTATTATGTAAATAACACTCCTAGCTATCAATTTTCATATACTCCCTCTGTCTCATAATTATTGTCTAGTTTGGATTCTCACTTTTAGTATAATTTATACTAAAAATGAAAACTCAAAGTGGACAATAATTTTAGGACGGAGGGAGTATAAGTTTTTCTAAGGTGTCAAATCAGAAATTAGGTACCAACAAAAATTTTGTTTATTAACCAAAAAAAAAAAAAATTTGTTTGAATTTCCAAAGAGGTGATTTCCTTACTACAAGAAAGACCCTGTTTTAGCAAAATGGAAGGGGATGGTTTTGCAAAGGGAAAATGAGCCAAAAATGTTAATTGGACTTTGGTACTATTGAATTACGCTTATTAGCCTTACCAAAAACGTGATACTGCCCTGGAAAACCCCATTCAAGTTCAACACCATGTTTGTCCTAAACCCTTCCCCGCCATTTTTTCAGGTCACAATTCGTACCCCTCAGCTGTGCTATCAGCAGTTCCACCACTATCCTCCATTTCTTAATGTTGTTAATTCAATTCCACCCCAATTTGACAAGAGGGTTTCTGAATTCACCACTAAAGCAACCCAAAAACACCAATTTAAGATGCCAAATTTTGAACATCTCGATGAAGAAGAATATGATTCTGATGAAGAGGATGACGAGGAGGATGCGGGTGAGTTTTCTGGAAGAAGAGGGTTCAAGGGAGAGGAAGATGGCAAAGATTATGATAAAGACCCTGAGTTTGCAGATATTCTTGGGAGTGTTGTGGATAACCCTGAAAAAGCTAGGACCAAAGTAAGTTCATTTTGCTCGCAAATTCTTTAAAAGATGGTATCTTTTTTTTTATTGTTAACTGTGAAAGTATGGTGGAGATTACTTTCAATGGCTTTAAGATGTATTTGCGCTTGATATGTTTGTTCATTTGGAGATGAAAAAATGTACCACGTATGATTGTTTGTAAATTTGCAATATGAGAATGAAATGCAATATAGCTGATTATTCGGGTTGATTTAAATGTCAGATGGAAGAGAGGTTGAGAAAGAAAAGGAACAGAATTTTACACACGAAAACTGGTTCGGCAACCCCTATGAAGGTGACATTTAAGAAGTAAGTCGGCAAACATGTTTGATGCCTATCAATTAAGTTTTTGTTTCACTTTGATATGATCTGCAGCATTTTTAGAATTTAACCTCCATCCCGTAAGAATTCACGTTCAAAATCACCCTTGTGACTTCTTAACTGGAAGTGTTGGAATTAATGAATTTGATTTTCGTTGTAGGTTTGAATTCTCAAATTCATACATATGGTTTGAATTCTATCATGCTCCTCTGGAGAAAGATGTAGCCTTGATTTGCGATGTGAGTATAATCCCTCCTTGGTCCCTGCATTAATCTGTTGGTAAGACTTCTGTGTCTAAGCTTGTTGTGTTAATGAGCAGACAATTCGATCATGGCACATTGTTGGACGACTCGGAGGATGCAATTCAATGAATATGCAAGTAAAATGCCAGATTTACTTTTTTCTTGATTGCATGTTCAAATTGAATTTTCATATGGTTGCAGTATACAATCAATATATCCTGTTTTTCTCAGGCTTGTGTTATATAAATATATAGATCAGGAAAGTAATCGCAATTAATCTGGGAAGTAAGATTCTGTGTTCATTGATTGGTGTTGTCCAAACCTTTCTTGTTTGGGCAGTTGTCACAATCTCCTTTGGATAAAAGACCAAGTTATGATGCTGTTCAAGGAGCAAATGTCTCACCAACTACATTTTATAACATTGGAGATCTTGAAGTTCAAGATAATCTAGCTCGCATATGGTAGCTTAAACTTACTGTAATCGGGATTTGATCTATAATATCTTGTCTGATGTGAAAATATTGAGCAACCCTGTTTCTGAGAAGTCAGCTATCAATTTTGCAGGGTTGATATTGGGACAAGTGAACCGATGCTTCTAGACGTTTTAATTAATGCCTTGACCCAGATTAGCTCTGAGTAAGATCAAAATTTTTTTTTCTCTGAACAGTTCATTTTATTCTAGCCAATCTGCGCCTCATCTAGCTACAATTTCTTAATCGACATATTTTCCATGTTGTAGGACCAACTTAACTTACTGATTTCTTTCTATTTTTGGGTAAAACCTATGGTTGTGTTATGGATGAGAGGCAAAAAATCATCTGTCTAAATGTAGGCGTGCTCACTGGCTTCATTGATCTCCTGTTTCTTGTTTATCAGCTATTTGGGGATCAAGCAAGTGGTATTTGGCGGAGCTGAATTTGAGAATTGGATTGAGAACTACACATCAGAGGATGCTGGTTGTAGCGTTCACAAAATTTAAGCAGCTAGTAGCTGAATACCATACCTGTGAGTGATTCCCATGGTCAGTAACCAGATTCCTCATCCTATGAGTGTTGCCCGTGGCATACTACTGGAAAGAAGAATGCAAGACTAACAGGCAGTGAAAGATGATGCTATTTCATGAAACAGTCTTGGCATTGTTCTTCAGCCAATGCAAGTGTGGGAGGAAAGAAAGTAGAACCAATCAGTTACCCTCACCAGAAGAGATAATTTCTTGCCAAATTTCAAGGGGATGATGAGATCAGGCTGTGAGATGATGTGTTTTTGTGAGGCTTTATATCGGTAGCATGTCATGTAACATCTATTCTCAGGGTCTAACACAGTCCTTACCATTTGAGCCTGTTACATGCAATTTTCCTCAAATTATACATATTAGTCCCGCATAGTCGGTTTAATGTTTTTATTGTTGTGGAAGTCAGGTTTATTTTTCATTTCTCCGCTACCTTCCTCGCCAGAAGCACAGTCGAGAACCGTCTCTTATGATGTAAACAATATGCACTTTAGTGCCATTGTTGCGAGCATACTGAAATACTGAAATTTGTACACAGTAATCAGGAAGCACAAGTGAAAACACAACTCTCTAAAATAACATTGATTATAAGTGTACGCTCCATTTTAGAAATGGGAAAGCGGAAATGTAAGAGGAGATAATTACAGCCAAATATTAGTAAAAAAATGTCATTCTAAGGGTAAAGAAGAGATGGTCATTAATCTGAAGCAGCAGAGCAGCAAAAGATGCTCCTACAATGAACGGTATGATCAATAATGGGACTATAAGTAGTCAGGGGCAACAGGAAGGGATGAAAATAGTGGATAACTGGTGAAGCTGTTCCTCATCTCGTCGACATGGATACCTTCTCAGCAATCAATTTGATCTCTTTCATCCTTTCATCAACTAGTTGCCGAAGAGATTCCTCTTGGTTACTCTTAGCTCCGTCACTCTCGCTCCCTGTAACATTGCCATTCTGTGACTTGAACATAGCAAATGATGTTTCTTGATCAAATTCAGTAGGAACGTCAATAATCCGCTTCCCAACAACTTCAGAATCCTTTCCTATGATATCTGTCTTTATTCTAGCTGTAACAATTGCACGGTAAGACTCCATGTACTTGTCAATGGGATCTAGTCCAAGATAGAGGAGAATCTCCCAACACTGCAGGAACTGTCTTTTATTAATCTTCAAGCTCTTCCTGACATCTTCAACAGCACTCCGGGGTGGGCCATATTGGCAGGGCTCACTCCTCTTTGAAGGATTTTCAGATTTTATACGTGACACGACCGCACTAAGTGCATTCTGTATTGGACTGAAAACAAGCAGACGTTGCAAATCAATCTTTGTGCGAACATGTTGAAGGGAATCTTCTGGCTCTTCAACAGTCAGGTCATAAACATCTTCTGACACTGCAACATTGTTGAGGACCTTCAGAAGGCTACCACCATAACCTTTCCCCTGGTATGGAGGTAGTACTAATATCTGCAATCAAGAAACCTCTCAGCAAAAAATCTACAATATTTGAGGGACAGTTGGATACTCCTCCAACTCCAATTAGGACAAAAATAAGAAAGCAATAATACAAATTGAGTTTATTTGTCATTTTGTAAAGCTCTCCATGCCTACATGAACACAAAGCAAACAAGTACATAGAGCAAACCTGTCCAAGTCGCAAGCGTTGGCTATCTGGATATCGATGAAAGCGATAAACTGCGGCAAATCCAATCATATTAATACCAATATCCTCCTGGAGATCTGCTGTCTTCCGAACCACCATATAGATTTCCCATCTGGGATCATTGATGTCAATAGGATTGCTACCTGTTCCACAGAGGCATTCTTTCAGAACCCCAAGTTATACTTAAATTGCCAAACCTTAATCCAGTAATGAACTCTTACCATCGATGAGGAGAAGGACAAGAGGCACTAATCGACTGTAAAGGTGCCCAACTGGTTCACCAGCAACTTTGAATACCTGAAGAAGAGGGACACAGATTTACAATTGGGGTGAAAAGAAGTAAGAAACTTTGAAGTTCATTTCTTGGTAAATTTTGACAGTAAAGAGAGACCGTGAAGTGATGAACAAAGAAGCAGCCTTTAGATCAACCTTCAGCATTTGCCAAAAGGAAGCTACATTATGAACTTTCCCTTCTATGGCATAAGTACAACCATTAATTATTTGCATTTCCAAAAAACTCAAAATTATTTATCTGTTAGGATTCAGATCATGTTGTTATCGAAGTAATCAGTAAAGGCACAGTTTTCTATTAAACTTCCAAGTTCAATTGCTACGATTTTTAGCCCCAACCGGAAAAAAAAAATGCTATGAAGTTTTAACAGCTGAAATAACAACCAGTCAGCCAGGGGGCATGAAACAATTTGCACAGGAAAGTAAGGACAAGAACATTAACAACAAGCCTTTTTCCCACTATATGGGATCGGCTATATGGATCATACTTCACCCCGGGTTTGATCAATACACGTATCATCATTCAAAGGAAAAGTAAGGGACATCAATCGAAATTCCTAAAAATTTGGGAACAGATTGAAACTTCAGACAGGCGCGGAAAATGGTCAGATAAATTAGAATAGCAGTCCCCATTCAGTTGTAACGAAGGAGTATACCTCAAAGTCAGAAGCCTCTCCTTTTGAATTTTTGCTAGAATCACTGCTACGTCCATTAGCAGTTGGCTGTTCTAATGCCACCCCAGATGATATAACAGATCTGCATGGAAATCAAAATGTTAAATCAGAGAAGTAGAATTTGAGGTTATTCTTTTGTTTGCATGTTTAAAAGTAGAAAATAATGACAGCAGAGGATATGGTGAGATAGCCATGGGACTTACTTAATATACAGGCGCTCACTGGAAAATGTGTTTAGAAATTCCTCTTTTTTCTCAACAAGGTTTTCAGCAAACATATTCTGATAGAAATGATAGTCAAATAAGCGTTCTTATTGAAACTAAACCTATCACTAAATAGCAAATGAAGAGAACTGTCAAACTCAGGTGCCAGCATTACCTTAAGAGCAGATTTGAGATCTGTGATACCCTTGCCTCCCTTGAAAAACATAATAAACAAAGTAAGAACATTAGATGAAAAAAAATGAGTTTACTCACCAAGGTACATAAACATTCGATCATTGTGCAGTTAAACTTGACAAATAAGGCAAAATCTATTCAGTTTAAATGCCACTAACAATAAAATATAGTTTTAAGAACAAAACACCACAAAGCAGACTAAAAATAAAAGTGAACGAGCAACTGGGAACATCCTTCTATAGTGATCGTCTTTGAGCAGAAATGCTCTTTTTTGTCACAATATCAACAGTAAGAATCACACACCCTCTAAAAGTTATATCTGAAGGCTCAGCCTTGATACACTAGAGGTGTAATACACCTTCACTACAGTTTCTGTGGCGATTTTTTTAACTACCAAAAGAGAAAAGAATACTTACATCAGAGGTGCTCTCAAAAACAATATCAGCATATGCATGAAAACTTATGCTACTGAGCCAAACAGTTATCTGCATAAACAACAAAAACACCATTAGACCAACTAAAGAAGCGTGTGCATGAAAACAACAGAAAATGGACGTGCACTTGACGATTCCTTTAAAATGGAGAAAAGTCCAGAAATACTGACATGGGCAATCACCTATCTGCATCTAGCTTAATTTTTCATGAATTAATCAAACAGATAAACTGATGAGTGCTCAAATCAATAGTTCGACGTATCCACTCGTGTCCTTGTTTTCATCCATTTTTTCAACACTTCTTTTCGGGGGGGTAAATCACATAACCAGATGGCTATGGTACAGAAAAGGTGAATCCATTTTTCAATGTTTTTCAATCAAAGGTAAAGTGCAGAAAAGGTAGGACAAAATCTGCGAAAAATTGACTTCAAGAAAAATGTTCATTAAGCGGAGACAATCTCACCTTCAAGCCCTTATAACCATAAATCTTGCCATCATCTTCAAAGAACTTATTCAGGTCAATTGGATCAATGCAGCAACTATCTGGAGAGTCGACTTCCTCTTTACGAGAGACTGGAAGAAAAGATTTCTTAGATACAGCCATGTCCATGCGGGCATAAAACAATTAAATGAATGAGAAGCACTATAAGCATTCTAGTGATATTTACCTACCCCCGCCCACTTCTCTTCCCAAATAGAAGGAAACACTCACACACAGACTCATTTGTTTGGCACTTAAAACAGAGATTCTGAAGCATACACTTCGGATTGAGTCATCATGTTAGTAATAAGTCCAGCACCTCCCTCATTCTCTTCACAACATAACAACTTTTTAGGTTACAAATTAGAAGTTGAAATTGACATATTTACCAATTGTAGTTCCAGCAAATGAAAACATTTGAATAGAGTACTGAACTAAAAAGCAGCCAGCTCAAAACAATCATAACCCACCCACCCCCCCCCCCCAAAAAAAGAAGAAAAAATAAGTAGACCTTCTGGAACGCAAAATGAAAACCTCACTAAATTCAGTAAATAAAGTTAATTGCCAATTTAGAGATGGTCACTGAAAAATTAAGAGGCATATAAAGGGTCCAACCAAAAATCATTATTAAAAAAGAAGCAAGAGTACAGTACCAAGGTATATTTTGATGCAGTCATTCGCTTCAACGCCAGGATCTGTAGTCAAATTAGAGAGGGCAAAATACAGCAAATTAAAAAAAAAATAAAATGAAACATTTACCGCAGGAGATGAAAAGAAAGAAAACTTGGAAACGACGACTCACCGAGTTGAGCAGATTTCCCAAATCCAACCCGGCGTTTCTTCTTGGGGTCAGAGACAAGATCGGAAGAAGCCTGGTTCTTAGTACCCATAGTGATAGTGGGGGGGAGTTAGGGTTTTGGGAGGTGGGAGCGGGAAATGTAGGAGGCGGGAAACGCTGAACCTCAGTGTGTAAATTAGATTACTACTCTGTATTTGCCGCCTATTCTTCTGTTCACTATTCTTGCTGCCACTACGCAGCATTTATATAGTCGGGTTTAGAACTGGGAGCGCTGGGCTAAGCCCAAAGCCAACAGCGTAAAACTTTTATTTAAACTTTATTTAAACTTACGACGGTTTTAAATTCAATAGCGGGCGTTTGGTCTAGTGGTATGATTCTCGCTTTGGGTGCGAGAGGTCCCGAGTTCGATTCTCGGAACGCCCCTTTTTGCATCTCTATCTTTGATTTGGTGTATAATTTGTGGCGCCTCCTTTTTTGCCTCTCCTCGCTTGTAAATGGATGCTTACAGACAATTTGAGATATTTGGTTGCGGGAAACCTTTCAAAGTCGATTGCATAAAAAAATAAAACTCCAGAAAAACGATGGCAAAGGCACGTAAAACGCACTACTCTGAAAGAGCCAGTATATCAAACAGTAGGTCCCATATAGAGCTCTTAATTTATTTAATTATGCAGACAAAAATCATACTTGGGAACGGTCCTAACCAGATTCAAACCAGAATGCTCCGAATCAGATTCAAACGTAGATGATGGTTCCATACGCTAAGCATGTGGAGAATGAGAATCAAACTTATAAGGTTAACAAATATAAGTTCTGTATTTTCCAGAGAGTACATAATATAAGTTCTGTAGACGTTCAGCCAAACTCCTGACTCTGAAACTAAAACATCTATACCAAGCCATTCTTTCGAAGTACTATACAACAAAGCTAAATATATGCAAACATAAGAAAGCTATATACAAATCATAGTACAAGCATTTGTTACAAACATTATTATACCAGAAACCAGAAACCCGAAACCCGTTCTTAATAGGCAGAAGAGGACCGAGCTGGTCATAGCTGTTGATGCAGGTACTGGATCCCACAAAGAGGACCAAGCTTGTCATAGCTAAGGATGCAGGTACTGGATCCCCTATCTTCTCGCTTTCAAACCAAATTCGACATAGAGCTAATCTGGCCACTTATGGTGAAGTGTTATTGCCAGCACTTTATCTATTTCAGTAATGATAACATGGGCCTGACGCACCAAAATTCAGAGGAGATCTTCTATATGTCATCAGGTAGGCATCCAAGCATCTTCAGTTCCAACTTTCCACATTCCCCATCTCCATCTCACCCTTGGACAGTGGGTCATACACCTTGATATGAGAGTATTGGTGACAGTGAAAACAACATCGCGGTGAATGAATAGTTTTGCATCTGTCAAGTTAGGGCAGTTATCGAGGATAAAGAAGATGAATAAAAGAGTAGTGTCAAAATCATGAATCTCCAGATAAGCGGTAATGTCTTTCAATCCCTTCATCTGATTTTGGACTTCAAGATCCTCACACATCTCCAACTCTGACCATGCCCGAGGATTCAAAGTAAGAGAACTTATATTTGGGAAAACACTAAACAACAACTTGAAGCCATATGTAGCCACCATCAGCCCTATGGTTCTCGTTGAGCTCAACTTTAGATTCTGAATTGTTGGACCAAAAGGCAATTTGCAGATAACCCGGTAAAGGTCGAAGGATTCAAGATGAAGGGTTTTCAAACTGGTAAAGTCATGCACCTTGAACTTGCTAGCCTCCTCGAGGGAAAGATACAAATCAGTCAAGGATGGAGTATCAATAACAAGTGCTTTCGGCCTCGCACATTTGAGCTTCAGTTTGACAAGCCTCGGAGCTACTATATTAATCGAAGTGACAGCGTTAGACACAGTCCAATGACAGGTTTTAAGGCCTGACATATGAATCCTCGGCTCCTTAAGACCTCCAACTCCAATCAAGTTCAGAACTTGCAAGGAAGATAAGCACTTGTTCACCATGTCCAGGTCCTCGTCATCCAGCCTAATGTACTCAAGTGTCAACTTGGAGAGCATCGGCATAGGATTCAAGCCATCCACTGAAAGCCAAGCATTCTTGATCTGTAGCTCAATCAAATTTTGACCTACATTTACGAAGGTAAAACCAACTAGATACATTAAAGGAACCACTTATGAGCAGGTAAGATGGCGCCAGAAGAAGGAAAATATCTCCATGACAGTTATGGGTATACATAAACCATAGTAACGGAGATGATTCAGAATAAGTAAAAACTGACCCTTTACACTTTTAAGTACTGTACTCCAAGATGCAGCATCCATTCTCTCAAATTAAATGAAACTATTGCATTAAATGATGATTGATGGCAATTATCACAAACAGACTCTCTTCTTTTGGTTCAATCATTAAGTTTGTTCCAAAGACGAGAAAAGTAAAAAATTTATATTCCCTTACAACTTCAAACAAATCGAAATCATCAGCCAATCCAAAACAAAAGGTGGGAAATGGAACACCTCTCTGATTGTCTACATGGGCTAAAGTGAATTCTAATAAGCTAAAGAGAGAAAAATGATCATCCATAAGTAGTGAATTAGAAAGCAATCAATAACAAAAAGAAACTCTATAGAGATAAGACAACTCACAATAAGAAGAAAGGAGGGAGAGGACATCAGATCGTCGCCAACAAGACTGAACCCAGAAATCCGAAATCGAACACGATATCAATCCATTCCCAATTTTCGGCAACCATTCAACAGCAAACTTGTCATCAGTCAGGAACAAATCATCCTCGTCTTCGACATCGTCATACGCCACCGTATGGAGCGGCTTTTCCACGCCAATCGAAACCGACTCGATGATTCCGAGCTCTGAAATCAGGTTCCTGAAAATCGTCTTGAAAGGCGTAATCGAGGATCGGGTGAGGGGAGACCGAGACTTTGCGTAACGGTCGAAGGAGCATCGCAGGTTTATCGACCGGACTTCGCGAGACAGGGAGTTGAGTGTCTTGGAGGCGACCCGACAGCGAGCGATATCCGCCGAGTCATCGAGTCGACTCAGGATGTCGATGACTAGATGCGTCGGTAGGTCTTCCATCTTCGTCTCCGACGATTCTGCGGCATACAATGGACCCTTTTTTTCAGTTTTTTGTTTCTTCTCTTTTATTTTGGCCCCAATATAGTGGGATGAATTATTGTGTCCTCTAAAATGTTGGTTTTTTCATGTTACTTTCGTAATTTTTCCCTAATACGGTAATAACTATCTCATCTGAACATAATTTTTTACATTTTAACTAATATTTTTTTTACATTTCTAATGTAAAAAAACACTAAAAGCCTACGGTGAAAAAAATAAAAAAATTCCCATAAAATTTGATAGTATTAAAAATTCCCTTTCAACTTAAAACGAGGGAAAGATACTTGTTCCACATTTAAAATGGAATGATGTGTCAAGATCTTAACTATATCCTAACTTAACTGTATAAACTCTGTTTGGAGAGTTTTAACAATGATGAGTGAGGTCATTTCCTTGTCATTTTTTCCATGTATCAACCATTACTCTTCAATTTAATCAACATATACATGCATTACTCCCAATTGTTAATTGATTTTGAGGTAGAACCACATGCGAACTTATATAGGTCTTCAAAATGGAATGAGAGCAGGTTTTAATCATGTAAATTTGTGTGGATTTTGACCAATCCAACAATTTATCCCGTAGATTTAATAGTGAACTTTTAACAATCCGACAGTTTATTCGGTTTGATTGCCTTGTATTGAATTTCGACTTTACCCCTATTGATTTTTGACTGGTCCGTCAATACATTTGAGGAGTTTGATTTACTCTTATTGAGCTTTGATATACTCGTATCGAGTTTTGATGATCCGACAATTTATTTGGAGTTTAAATAGTTCAAGGGAACTTGTCCAACCCCTTTAGACTTGAGAATTAGGTGTTAAAAAATTCATTTGAACTCGAAAACAAGTGAAATACACTTGTCCAAATTGAAAATGATAACCCAAATCGACAAATTCACATGCTACATAAAAACTACATTTATAGACTTATATGGACCTTTAAGACATAATCTTTAATCTTTGCTACACAAAATATTAGAGTTCAACCAAAGGAGTTGTGGTGGAGTGGTAAGAACTCCTCCAACCTTAACTATAGGTGGAGAGTTTGAATCTCGTCATGGGCATGGAGCAATCTTAAATCTTTTGGCCAACTCTTTCACATATCGAGGTGCTTATCATGAGCAAGGGATTTAGCCACTGTTGCCGACTGTACCCATCGAGGTGCTTATCATGAGCAAGGAGTTTAGCCACTGTTGCCGATTGTACCTATCGAGGTGCTTATCATGAGCAAGGGGGTTTAACCATTGTTTCTGACTGTAGACACTTGTTATATGGAAAAAAAAAAAAAATTAGGGTTGAATGATGTTGTTTTTCCCCAAAAGTAACAGTATGTAATTACTATAAAACCCATTGCAGGAAGGGTGAACACAATAGGTTGTGAAAGGTAGTTCGGTCGTTTGATACGGAGGGCAAACTCCAATGGGAGCACAATATAAATTCGAGCGGCAGCCTTCTTTTTTTTTTTCCGCCGGGAAGTTGCTTTTATATAACTGAGGAGGAGGAAAAAAAACAAGCGTCAAGCCAACGCAGAAACACTAACCACCAAATTCCTCCGCCTTTCCCCTGAGAAACCAACATGAACGGAGGAGACGAGAGTGACCGCTTACTGGATTCAGCTCGTTCAGCAGCGTTCAAAGAATCAGAAAGCCTCGAAGGAGCTTTGCCAGAAATTCGAGGATATGATTTCAACCAAGGCGTCAATTATCCGGAGCTTCTCAGATCAATGCTTACCACCGGCTTTCAAGCGTCCAATCTCGGAGACGCCATTGCCATTGTTAACGAGATGGTTGGTCCTCTTAATTCAATTACTTTTTTTTTTCGTTTTAAATGTTGAATATGTATGATAATTGATCTTCTAGTCCAAAACCCCATTGCAACATTTTTCAGTGAGTTGATTTTCAATTTTTCAGTTTATTTATGGCCGTTTCAACTTAGAGTTAATTCAAAGGCTTCGCTTTCTTCTTCGTTCATACTTAATCAATCAAGGTTTTAGGTAGACCCGGTTAGCAAGTGATTAGCTTCACCAACTGACGTGGGTTGTTGGCTTTTCTGTTATTCATCTGGGACTCTGCATAACTTACAGATTCTACATTTAAAAAGTAAAAAATAAAATTGGGGCCCTTTTTCAAGTGTTAAACGTTTAAATTTCCTTCAATTTTAAACTGTGTTTGATTGTTTAATCTTTTCTGTTCTAGAGATTGAAGTTTGTTTTACATTCTATTCTGGTGACAGATAGATTGGAAGCTTTCCCACGAGTGTCCGGCCGAAGATAGTAGTGAAGAGGAGAGAGATCCTGCTTTCCGGGATTCAGTCAGGTGTAAAGTTTTCCTCGGGTTCACTTCAAATCTTGTTTCTTCTGGGATCCGAGACATCATTCGGTATCTTGTTCAACATCACATGGTGAGTAATGATAGTTATCAATAATATCATAACGATCTGCTTAGAGTCACAAAGGATGTCCATGACCTTGTTGGTAGATGAAAATGTGTCTTTAAAACTGTTCCGTCAGTGTCTCATTGATTTCTCAATTAGACATTGTACTATTCTAGTGCAATCTATGATTGCATTATATCTATGATTTTGCAATATTCACTGCTTCCAAGTGGCATTGATATCTCCAAATCGATTAGTAAGTAATCCAAATATTGACAATCAATCATTAGCGTTAAAATTATACTATGTTATTATGCTATATCTTCGAAGTCTACCACTTTGATTATTGTTTAGACGATAGGGCACTGTACAAAGGTTTGTTAATTTATGTACTTTTTTTACTGTTGCTCGATTTTTACATATATAATGTCATCATTATGGGGTCAATCGGTACGCAGGTTGATGTAGTGGTAACTACAGCTGGTGGTGTGGAGGAGGATCTTGTCAAATGCCTTGCACCTTCATATAAAGGCCAGTTTACGGCATCCGGACGCCTTTTACGCGATAAAGGGTTGAATAGAGCTGGTAATGTATTCATTCCAAATGAAAATTATTGCAAATTTGAGGAATGGATTATTCCAATTTTTGACAAGATGTTGGAAGAGCAGGCATCAGAGGTATTTTTGCATGTCTCTTTTTTGCTAAACTTTCTTAGATGATTTTCGTCTTGGGAGGAAAAGGTTATATTATTCCCTTTTACCTTTCTGTTACTATGGCTGTAACAGAATAACCAGTTACTAATGAGTGTCAGAAAGTATTGAATAAAGATCATGACTCCTTTTGTTGCAGAATATACTCTGGACACCATCCAAAGTCATTGCTCGCCTTGGGAAAGAGATCAATAATGAGAGTTCGTACTTGTACTGGGCCTACAAGGTAGATCTTTATTTTAGCATCTATGCAAGTTATCATACAGCTAATGTTCTTTCCTTTAAGTTCAAGATGTCTTTGGTAGAACATCACAATTTTAGGATTATTATGTTGTTTTGCTTCTATTGCTGCTTTTGCCATTCGAATTATGGAGGTTTGGACATGGGGGTTTTCTTCTTTCCAGAAAATCATCTAGTCCTCAAAGATAAATATAATATGTTGCTTATTTTCCAAGTACCTTTGTGATGTTGCTGTGATTGAGCTGCTGCTAGAATAGTCTGTTAAAATTTTTAGCTTATTTGGTGGAGCCAAGATAATAGTTTGTTATTTTCTTCTCGACTATGTCTTGCATTTGAGTAGCTCTATCACGATAGTTAAAATGGATTGCTAGGATTAGAGGTCTGTGAATATATATATTGGGGTAATTTAGATGTGGCATTAGCATGCAAATATTACCGTGAGTTGGCCACTCTTGTTGTGGTTGTGGTTTTTAGAAGTTTTACTTGTCCATTCTGGAGGAGGAAACTTGATGACCTATTATAGAGCTTTATCACGAATTTGATGGTGAAGATTGTTTTAAATGGTCCATATGGCATCGCTAGCTACTGATGTATATCTCTAATTATAACTGCCTTGTTCTAAAATGAATCAATTTCTTAAGTTCTTGCCACTAAAACAAAGTAGTTTGGTTGAATTTTTTGCTTACTTATAAATCTACTTTCCAGAACAATATTCCGGTCTACTGTCCTGGCTTAACAGATGGCTCATTGGGAGACATGTTGTACTTCCATTCTTTCCGGAATCCTGGCCTGGTTGTTGACATTGTGCAGGGTAATGATACATTGTTCTTCTAGAATTCCAACATGAGGTTATTTGGCTGATAGTTCGATTGTGTGTTCGTCTTGCAAACAGATATCAGAAACATGAATGGGGAGGCTGTCCATGCTGGTCTTAGGAAGACTGGGATTATAATACTGGGAGGGGGGCTCCCCAAACATCATATTTGTAATGCAAATATGATGCGGAATGGGGCAGATTTTGCTGTCTATATAAACACTGCGCAAGAGTATGATGGAAGTGATTCTGGTGCCAGTCCTGATGAAGCCATATCATGGGGAAAAATACGAGGTTCTGCGAAGACTGTGAAGGTTGCTCTTGTTGATGTTTTATATTTGTTAGACATCTGTTTTTATGGCTGTCAGCAGAAACATATTTGTTTTTTTTTTTTTTTCCTTTTCAAGTTTGTACTATCATTCAAATGTCAGTGTTGTTCAGTGTTGCTAAACGTTTCTTTTGGCAGGTTCATTGTGACGCAACTATAGCCTTTCCTCTCCTTGTAGCAGAAACATTTGCTCTGAAGCAAAGCAATTATACAGCCAAAGCCTTAGCTGATTGAATTTTGTCATCATCCAAATTTGCTGTACACTCCATGACTAACAGTGATGATTTTCAACCCTTCATGAAGCTATTTTGACACTTCCAAGTCAGAAGTTTGGTGGAGGCGTCTTGTTTGGTTAGTTGGCCATTCGTTTAGTGGGAGATACTCAGATTCCGCATCGACGACACTCTGTAGTATAAGAATCACAAGGATAGCATCAAGTTCTTTCCCTCTTTTCACTGCCCTCATCTTTTAGTCTGATCGAAAGGTGCATATACAATCTAGTTCAGTTCCGCACACTTGAATCATCGTCGAAGATCCTGTTCCACATTCTTTTGAGCTCAACCTTTAGGCAGGAAAGTTTCAGTTAGCAGTTTTATAAGATTGATGAGCACAAAGTTATTGATGTAGATTTATCCTTATCCGTACTTGTAATATGTCCCGGTAAGGACCAAGAATGGTCTGAAGGATTTCTTGTAATGAGTAATGACTTATTTCAGGCAGGGATATGTAACTGGCCAAATCTTGTTTTGCTTCAATTTTAACTTTTACTCCCAGTTAAATGCATACTAATTACATCATCAAAAAAAAAAAAAAAAAGAAAGAAAGAAAGAAAGAAAGGAAAAAGGAAAGCGCCTACTAAATTGGGTTGATTTTATTGCACACAGGAGTATTTAGTTGTTCCTTCTTTTTTCTTCGTGTTGTACCAGTTGATCTGATTTGTCCAGATCAATCAAGGCAACGTCCGGGCTTTCTTATGTTTGAAGTCTTTAACAGCATAGTTCGAGAACCAAAAGAAGGAAGAAGACAACAAAGTCAGCTTGATACCATAAGAGTTGTTTTGAAGGTGATAACTAAATGATTCAGACGTCATGAAAGTCAAGTAATTGAACTCAAAAGAATAAATTCAAAAAGGGACAAGTAACTGATAAAATCATGTACCGGAAATTATACAAGGAAAAGAGTAGGTTTTGTACAGCTATCCAAACTTTTATCTCTCAGGATCAAGTATGAAGTATGAAAGAATGTACTGTATTAGTTATAATCACTCTATATGAACCCACAAATGCCGAAAAAGATATAGAAGAAAGACGGTCATCTGTAGAACTCTTTACAAGAAACAGAAAAAGTCTCTTCTCGCATCTGGCATCTGGTCAAGGTAGGTAGCATTCTCAATGCATAAAAGAATCGCAGAATTGAGAAAGAAAAGAAAAAAAATCACTTCTGCAAGGCCTGAATTCTGGCAGCTAGAGTTTCAAAATCTGGAAGCTTTGGATGAACATGACTAGGTTTCTTCAGGCTATCCTCTCTGGCAATTCCAGTGTCACCAGATGGCTTAAGTTTTTCACTACTTTCAGGTTTTTCCGCCTTACGCTGATCACTGGCTGATGCTTCTGCTGCAGATGACTTTTGGTTTTCCTCAGGCAATGATGTCCGAGATGATGAATTTGCCTTGGAAGCTACTTTTCCTGAGCTAGTCCGCTCAGGCTTTTGGCGCTGATCTGAGTTCCTATTCCAGTTCACATGATCTTGAGGAGTTTCGGATGCCTTGGAAGCTACTTTTCCTGAGCTAGTCCGCTCAGGCTTTTGGCGCTGATCTGAGTTCCTATTCCAGTTCATATGATCTTGAGGAGTTTCGGCACCATAAGCTCTATTAGTTGGAGTTCTTCCAGATCCAGAATCATTTACACGAATCTCTGAGCTTGAGCCAGCCTTTGGTTTAGAAACTGAGGTTGAACTTGACTGAGATGTGTTCCTATTCCAGTTCATATGATCTTGAGGAGTTTCTGCACCATAAATTCTATTAGTTGGAGTCCTTCCAGATCCAGAATCATTTACATGAATCTCTGCGCTTGAGCCAGGCTTCGGTTTAGAGACTGAGGTTGAACTTGACTGAGATTTCATATAATCTTGAGGAGTTTCTGCACCATGGGTTTTATTAATTGGAGTCCTTCCAGATCCAGAATCATTTACACGAATCTCTGAGCTCGAGCCAGCCTTTGGTTTAGAGATTGAGGTTGAACTTGACTGAGATGGTTTTGTCCTCTTAGAAATCCCACTAACCACTTTACTTTTAGCAATATTAACTTTTGATGGGGAATCATCATCCGAGTCACCGTCAAAAAATGCTGAACCTCTTAAGCTAGATGGAGCTTGAACATCTTTGCGAGCATCTCGGATGTCTGGCTCTCCTCTGAGACTTACAGGTTGGTGTTTAACTTCATCCATGGAACTATCACTATCAGAATCAGAACTGTAATCTGTCACCCTTGAGCCTCTACCATTACCTGCAAGTTTCTCCTGTCTAGTGCTTGTAAATCTTTCAGCAGAAGAAGCAGCAACAGATTGCCTAGTCATAGAAGGGATTTCATCTGCAACTGTATTAGTTGAATAAATATTATCATCAACTTTACCCCTTGTATAAGGAGGACGAACATAACCCTTCTGTCGAAAGCCACCAGTTAAGTTTTTGAAGTTCAAACCCATCCCTTCATCTGAATTTTCATCCATATCTGGCTTCAGTAAATCTGCTGAGTCTATGTCGTCTAGTACTCCTTGCACAGAAGAGACCTTTGATTTTGATGAAGCTAGGTACTTGGGGTCATCTCCAACATCACTCTTAAGTTCTTGATGAGACTTCCCAAGTCTAACAGACGATTGACAGTTAGGTGAAGATTCACTTACACTCATGTCTGCCTTTCGGCTATCTTTTTTATCTGCCTTTCGGCTATCATTTCTATAGATCTGAGTCCCTGACAAGTCATCATTTTGTTTTCTTCTGTTCAGAGGATATCTATCATCATCAGATCCACCATGTTCAGCATGAGGCATGTTAGTATCACTCTCAGAACCATCTGAATCATCAAAAGTTACAGGGCCATAATTATCTGCTTGTGAACCATCCATAGAAGGTTCTACGATCTCTGAGAACTCAGCAAAGGAATGCTTTTCATTAGATAACTCTGCCATAGCACCAACAGATGATTTTCTTGTCCTCTGTATATAGCTTTCACTGCCTGAGTTTGCACGCCAATTAGAAAGAGAGCTTCTACCGGGTGATGCAAAATGAAAATTTGAATCCTCGTTCATCCTGAAACCTGTACCAGACCCAATATCCTCACCATCAGAACCAGACTCATCAAAAACTACAGGAGCATCAGCAGCACGATAGCTGGGCGCCAAAGAGTCTCTGGAATTGTTTTCTTCATCTTCACCAAAAAATGGACCTTTGCCATCATGATGGCCAAGAATTTTGCGACTGGAGTTCGGGGGTTCCCCATCACTATCAGAGTTGTTTGAATAAGAACTGTAAGAGCGAACACTGGATTGTTTCTTAATCATGTTTTCCATGGGATAAGTGAAGTTCTCAGCGCCAAAACCAACCCGGGGGTCATTCATATCTTCGCTCTCAAACTTACCAGACTGCCTTCGCCCACTGCTTTCAACTTTAATTTCCTCTTTCTTAGATGAGCTTTTATGTAAATGACCATCTGGTCCTTGGATGCCATGAGCAAAAGTCTCATCCTGGACCAACGTTTCAGGTCCAATATCACCATATTTATTTACTCTATCACGATCATCCTGGTAGGATCTTCTGGATGAACTTTCTCTACCTTCCTGTTTAATCATATCAGGCCGGTTGTTCTGAAAGCTGGGTTTCCTGTCTGATAGGGAGTCCTTAACTGAATCTTGTGAACCGTAATCACTGGAGTGTTTCGAGGAAACATGTTTTCGTGGTCTCTCATCTCTATGAACACCACCATTAGAATTACGATTTTCTGAGGGAGAATACGTTGTAGCTGCAGTCTGGACACGACTTGAAAGCTCAGCAGCAGCTCTAGCAGCCATACTAGCACGTTCAGCAGATTCAGCTGCTGCCTGTGCTGCTGCTGTAGCATCCTTGAACTCCATGTTCCAACTTTCCCTGCTAAATGAACTACCTTGCTCTCTCTGAAATGATTCACTAATTTCCTCCTTCTCCTGCCTACCTACTGATGGCAGAAATTGCATCCATGAGAATCGAGAAATTCAGTAGCCTAGAAGAGAATATAAAAACTTCTGAATTTTACCTGAAGGTTTCATTTGTTCTTTTGGGATGGAAGATGAAGTAGTTCTGCTGAAACTATCTTGTACAGAAGCAAATTCAGGGTTCCCTGCTGATGATCTTGAATTCTGTTGATAGAAATCTGTTGGCTGGTTCTCCATTTTATCATAACCAGATGGAGCCTGCAATTTAGGAGTTGTGCGAGGAACTTCAGGAAGTACTGTACTTTCCCCAAGGGTGCTCGGTCCATTCTATAAGGGAAGATATTGTTAGTAAATGTTTATTACAGGAAACTTCTGACATACGTTTTAATCTTCTACTCATTCCCCCAGAAAACATATAACGGAAAATGTTGAGCAATTAAGTAATACCAGCAAGTCATCTGGAGGCTGTATGCCACTTTGTCCAAATGATTTTGGATCCCATTTGATATTATGCTCCTCGGCAATTTTTGTCAGAATTTTCAGTTTGGTCTGCCCATCAGGTGCATTAGCAGATAATTTCTCAACCAGCTGGAAAAGCCAAAAAGCAAATGGTATAAAGTTATTCTTCTCCCCAAACAAATCAATTGTACAAAACTTGCTGAGTATGATGAAACACATACCAAGCGGCTAACACCACAATTCGGGCGCAGCTCAATGGCTGCAGTTACAAACTCCTTTCCATATTTCGCACTCAAAAGCTTCCTTGCATCAATAAGTTCTGGTACGTCTCCACATCTTGGGGAAGCAAATATGACACTTGTAACTGCTTCCTTCAGGTCAATGGGGCATTCTCTGTTAAAAGAATCAAATGGATTCATCAACTTGCCCTCAGTAATGCAGATTAAATCAAATAAGAAGCAATTGCCAAAATTGCCCTACAGTGCACATCTATAAGAGAAGTGACCAAACTGGTGTCTAGAATTGAAGGTACTTAAACAAACTCAGGAAACGAAGTACCCATTTTGAATGAGAGAGTATAAATAGGACTACAGTTCAGGGATTTCCATTGGACTGAAAAGCTATAAGTTGAGTAATGTGCTTTAAGACAATACGTTATGTACACGGAACACATTTTTGGGTCATATATTGCTCCCCTGTATTTGTAGAGATCACAAATTGAGTGTGCAAGATCATATTGTCGCATTCACGGTTAAGAATTCTGCAAGCAATGCTAGATAGTTGACATAACTAGGAGCAATAAGTGAATATCAGACATCCAGAATTACTATATACAGATAAAATATCAATTCCAAAGAAATGATTTGTGATTATACATACTTTTGAGACTCAATGATTGGCAAGCGTGCTACAATGAGCTCACAATATATTTCAAGAAGGTCGTATGCTGCCATCATTTTCTCTTCTCTGACGACATGCTCAACCTGAAATGACAGTAAACGAAATAAGGTTGGATCAGCATCTGCATCATAAAATTAAAACTTAAGGAATGAGTGCAGTTACAGAGCCCCTTTAAATCCAACGAGACATAAAAACATCGAATGTCTTTGCAACAACAACAACTTTAAACCGGAAACTGAAAGTTTTGCAACAAATACAATAAAAAGAACTATTACAGTACACCAGATATGTTGGTGTAAACTTCCTCCCAAGGTTGACCAAAAATACCCCAATAACTAAAGAAAAAAGATCCATAAACAAACATTGGCAACCAGTTTTACTTTCTAATAGCAAAATAACTGCGGATAGGCTATTTTTTCATCAAAACAAATGAATGATGCAAATACAGATAAGACTAAAATCAGCAGCTTAATGATCTTCTAAGAGTTAGAAATGCTATCTTTTAGATCATCAATTTAACAATTATGGTCAATGAACTCTACAAAGTGCAGAAATGTTAACAGATTAAATTCAGACGATCACGAACGTGAGTGAAGTTTTAAAAGAAAGAGAAAACAATTACTCGAATCCGAGCGGTCTGGTCCTGACCGGACTCAAGCAACTGAGCCAATTCTCTCTTCATCTGTTTAACTTGTACTTCCTTTTTATTCTTGAGCAATTTCATCCTAGAAGCAGCCAACTTCAACGACGTCTTGCTGCATCACAAAACCAAATCCAATAAACAAATGAAAAACACAAAAACCAGCACTAATTCACAATAGAGTGGCGAAGCGCGATACAATCGAAGAAAAAACAACGGAGACTCACCATTTAGCAGGTTTGAAGCTCCTGGAGAGCATGTCTTTAGGATTATGGTGATGGAGGAAACTTGATTTCTTCATTGTTTTCTTGGATTTAGGTTCCAATTCAGAAACATGAATCAGAGCTCCAGAGAATCACGGAATCGTCGTATATTGGCAAGGCGATAACGAATAATTGGATCAGAATTTTTTCCTATCTTAAAAAAACTACAAGCCTTTTTGAGCAAAATTTGCAGGAACTTTTGTACAAAAAATTGCGTCGATTTGATTTCGGAAAACGTAATTTACAGAGGAGGAGGAGGAGGAGAAGAAGAGGAGGGGACTTGCTGTAATCTAATTCTAAAACCAAAATGATACTAACAATAATAATTTGATTATAAAAATAAAAAAGAAGGAGAAATTAAAGCGTGTTGGAATTAGTTTGGAATTTTGGATTTTAGGAAGAGAATAAGAAGTTGCTGCCTGGGAAAATTTTAAATTTTGTACAAATAACGAGATTTTCACAGAGATTGACTTGTACGTAGCCTTTGACCAGATTGCCCTTGGCTCTGCCTAATCACTGACTTTCCGACTCTGTAAATTCTTTCTGGAATATCATATACTACCGCGTTTTTTCTATTAATGTTTCCGAGTAATTTCTCTTATATACTATATGTTTGGAATTTTGATTCTCTCTTCCTTTTCTTTCTTTTTTTTTTCCCCCTTTTTCGTGTGAGTAAGCAATTCTTTTTTCTTTTTTGTAATTTTATTTGATTGGCGGTTCTAATATTTTTTCGTTCATTACTCATTGAAAATCATACGAGATAAGAGATTACAAGAAGTTGGATTGTTATATCTTTTTCCTTTTACGGAGAAAGGTTAAAAGGGTAAACATTTTGGTGAAGTAGTTAGTCAAATCGGGTCAGGTTTCTTCCTAAATGGTAAGAAAGAAAGATGGAAAAGATATGCCACTTTGCGTATTGTTTTAGGCATAAATAATTCCGGATTTCTTGTTTTAAGTATAGATTTGATTGTCGCAATTATGTTTTTAGTAAGATCAGCAAAGCTCCTCCCAATTTAAAGAAAGAAATGCCTTTACATGTAACACTCATCACATCACTCAGAAAAGGGGAAAAAGATATATGTAATTTACTTACTAGTCAAAACTTATTTTCGGTAATAGTTATGCAATTTACTCCTAGATCTTTGACTTCAAAAAAATACATAATGTCTGAAATAACAATTAAGAGAACGCAATAAATGTAAAAATATATTTTTAATTAGAAAAATATACTAAATGAAACTTAAAATCAATCAAGATGTCGATTATATCACCCACTCTTTTTTTTCTTTTTTTTCAACTTAAACCGGGGACTTTGCACCGTTGAAGCCGTAGGTCAGCCGGCTATTGGAGGGTACAACGTAATAGTCACAAGACATTGTATCACGGGAAGGGTGCCAAAATGGGGGCCCTGTGAAAAACCTGTGCACATGTAGACACTAAACAGTTGAGATCAAAATTGTTAAAAAAGATTGATCCAAAACGTCGGCATCCTTTCCTCCTGCTTCTCATGGAGTTATAAATATGTGCCGCCATTTACGTTGATTACGTGTGGAGGAGGAGACTTAAAAGAGATGAATAACAAAATTAAATTTATTCAAGTCAGCATCATCATAGAAAGTGAAATTTACATGGGCTTCTTCATGTCGTTTACGATACTTCTTTCTTCTCCACTTGTTCCTACGTGATTAGCATTTTGCAGTTAACATGATACACATACAAGACAAAGCCCATATATTATTATTCAATATATTCATATGATGATTATCTGTTTTGTTCCTTCCCCTGCTTTTCTTTAATTGTTTCTTAAAAGTCTGCCTATTTTCAGTTAAACAGAATTATAAAAAGACCTCAAAGTCGTTTTATAGCTTTTCTTTTTTTTTTTTCTTTATATTCGAGTCAAGTCCTTTTGTTGTTCCACCTACTACCCACGACCTTCATTGCGATTCCAACCAGCTTACTTTGCACAACCCCGATGCCGAAAAAAAAAAAAAAAAATCATTTCTTTGTGCTGATTTGATTTAGCAAAAGTAGATTATATATATATTTTTTCCCTCTTCTGTCTAATTCATCAGATAGTGTTTTCTTTACTACATAGAGTCATCAGAGAAAACCCTATCGTTTGTTAACACGATTAAATATATTCATCTTCCCTACATTGTAAAACAATGTAATATTGTAATTCCCCTTTTCTTTTTTTCTAACTCTTTTTTTTTTTGGTTTTTCTTTTTCCTTTTTCTCCTCAAAGTTTATATCTTGATTGTCTCTATCAAACTCCAGGTTAGATAAATACTAGTGAGAGAATCAAGACTACTAATGAAAACTAAGCATTTATCCCACTATATGTCATCGGTTATATCATTTGATTATAACGTTGTTTATGATACCATGTCAAGCACATATTTGCATTTAACAAAATGTTCATTGAGGTCACAGGCTCCTTTTGTAGGTGGGCAAAACTGCACCAGAGTGAAATGGCCGGTACAAGAAGCTGTGGTACTATGATAATCACTTTTTTTTAGTACTCCCTCTGTCCCAAACTAAACAATAATTTCGGGATGGAGGGAGTATATAATAAACTATAGCAGTACTGCAGACCTAGAGTTCTAAAAATCATTCGATGGGATATTGTTCCTGTTCAATGTTTTTTCCTTAAATCTGAAAGAATGCCTAACTTAACATTGTCATGCATATAATCAAAGTTCCAACTTTGAGTTGCCGAATTGACTAAACATGATGGCCAAGTCCATACCCTGCACCATTGTAGGAACAGCTGTGTCATAGGGGCAGTCTTTAGAAAAACCAACCTTCCCAGACTTCTGAACTTTCTTTATGCACTTCTTGAACTTCTCGTGGCATTTAACATCGGTTAAACCTGAGAACCCGGAATAAGGGATGTAAGTAACTGAGCAAAACACAGATTGCTCTGATCTCCATACCAAATTTACAGGATAATGAGGGTAAAAGGAAAGCCTGATCGCAAGTCACCATGACACATTAAGCAAATGCCTCAGCTTTGGCAAACTCTCAATCAGTAAATTGCGATGTTTAATCAAAAGGCAGTAAAAGGTTTCCCATTGCAGCTATATCAACATCAGACTCTCAATGAATATATCACATTGATATGGACCCATTTCATGTATGTACTTATTAGTTAAATTATCAAATTGATGTGACACATTTCACATATGTACTTACCAGTTAAGTTACTCAAATTCACATTTCACATGTGTACTTACTAATTAAGTTACTCAAATTGATGCGACACGTGTCACATCTGTACTTACTGGTTAAGTTACTAAAATGCGAACTCACGCTTACGCTAATGTTACACATGATCTAAATCAATCAGTCAGTATTCATTGATTTACTGCATACCCATACATCCCAGCTCTTTCAGAACGTGCAACAGGTAACAAATGATACACATGGCAAAAGCTCAATTTTCAGTAACTGGACCAGGTTGTATTTCAACCAATAAAAGGTACTCATTCACCATTACTGTTAAAACTAGACAAGTTCCGAAGCAGAATAAAATGCCAAATCCCATGAAGGTAGTTTGTAAGGAATGAGACTGAGGAAATCAGAATTTGTCAATGACAGAAAAACAATGGCTGAACCACTGAACACCAAGATATACTAAATTCACTAGTTCATAGAGCCCAAGCAAGTGAAGCACTTAGGTTTCTTCAAAGACTGTTTTAACACATCGAAACAACCTAGCTAACCACAGCTCACCAACAACTGCGGCTGTCACTTTTGCGAGTTTTAGTGCAAGAAACTAGTGTCCACTCACCACACCAGGTCTAGAGAAATCAACGACGGCAAATAAGATATTTTTTTTTAAAAAAAGAGTGTTGGTCTCACATATATGTGATATTGTTAATCTAGATATTCGGGGAACCAAAACAATGGTAGAGCATAAAATTAACAGCAAAAAGTTGGGGCAAAAGTAATGACTCATCTAAATTGAGCTCCCAAATTTATGATATTCGAGCTACACATCAGTAATGGCTCGCCTTTACAGAATGGAAATAGGCACCAGACTCAAGTAGTTTACAATACCAGTGCAGCATCAGCTAGACAATGATTCAACAGGTTCCAAATCGAATTGTTCCTTTGACAAGAATTATGCCAAATCAAATATAAAGTCCAATTTCACTTTGAAAATATGGATAAACAAACAGCCAAAAAAGGGATTAAAATGCAAGGTACTAAGTTGTATAGTTGAGAGAACTCAATGACCAAACAAAAACAAAAATGCAAGCCACTCCTTAGTACTGTAACAAATCATTAAAAAACAAAAAAAAAAATGACCAAAACACCGTAAGAGAATTGAAAACAGTACACCTTTGTTCTCAACGCATTCATCATGAATCTTGCAACAAGCATCCAGATCATCGCAAGGTTTCTCTCCAGGACATCCGGTCCATCCTACTCCACAATACTTCCCGTACCTAATCCCGATTGCTACATCGAGGTTTCAAGTAATGAAAGCAGATCAATCAACAATAGGAAAAAAAGCCACAACAACAAAAAATACTCAATGTAGAGAGAAAAAAAACAAAGGAATAAGGAACTTACTATTGCAGTTCTCTGCAACACATGATTTGCTGCATCTAACCTACGGTTAGAAATTTCCGAAGATTTCGATTAATCAATTACATCCATCGATAAATAAATAACGGAAATGTGGTATTTGAATCCAGGAACTATGAAATCTTAAATTACCTGAGAATTGTTGGAGGATTCAGCGGTAACAGCGAGGAAGAAGATGGAAGAGATTAAACCAATAGAAAACAATGCAGCGGCGATAGACCTCCAAATGGAAACCATGGGGAGCTCCGGAAGATGGTTTGTCCTTTTATCGCCTTCCCTCTCTCGTTGTTGTGTGTTCAAATCTTATGGCGATTCTTGCTGGTTGCTGGTGCAGCAATTTGTTGTTTTCTTTCTGATCCCTGAAATTTGAAAAAAATTGCCGTCCTCCTACTGGTTCGGAATATTACGTAATAGCCTTCTCTGATTGGTTGATTGACGAGATGTCCTTATTTAAAAATATTAAAAAAAAAAAATTTCTTTCTTCAGGGTCGAATTTTCTATTTTTTCCGCCCAAAATTACTTCTAAAACCTCTCTCGTGTTTTTCTTCAGGTACGTTTCTTTTGAATTCTTGTAGCAAGGTATACTCTTTTCGTCTGAAAACAATAATTATGTTGATGAAATCAAAACAAGGCATCTTCTATTATTTTGAAACGAAGATATCACTTAGCAAGAATATCTTTGCCCATGTAGCCTCTGGAGATAATTGCTTTTTAACATTTGCACCTTTTGCAATGCATATATAAGTATATAACGAAGAACTAATCCAATCCTACCCTTCAGTGGCGATCTGGTTGGATGCTAATATCCGAAAGAGAGGAATTTGCGGTCTCATCAAAACTTCAAGATAGATACTCTCTTCTCTTCTCTTAATGTAGTTTCTGACCTTAGCTGACAACGAAGAAAGAACCCCAAAATCTCTCACGGTGCAACTCTCCCTGAATATGTACGTTTCAAGTGCAAAGATGGTACATGTTGCCAAATTGTAGACAGTTTCATAGTCCAGGACGGGCAATTTACTGAAAGTCGTAAAATCAAATTGAGGCACAATCTCCATCCATCATCATATCTAACTCATTTTTTCGATTCAATGCATTTATGATGCATCTAACACTAAAACCATAAGTCAGCCAAAATGACAAAATTTGCTTATGCTACAAGTCCAAATTACGGCACCAACCATGTCAGCAGATCAAGATGTTTTGATGCCGATGTTTGCAGTAGTCGGACGCACATATTTCAAGTCATTTTACCCAGCTTCTCAAACTGAAAACTTATGCAGTGCTACTACCAATGAAGTGCTGATACCATTAATCAAGTAGTATAGATGCATTTGACCAGATATGTTGGGAAATTTAACCTTTGTTGGGGGTCAAAACTACAGTCATCACTGGCATAACCAGCCTGTAACAAAAATAAAAAAGACGGAATAACATAATCCTTTGCTCAAGGCAATTACACTGGTGAGGTAACTAGGAATTCACTGATTATTGAGGCAACCATTTGTGACCACTGATTTCTCAGCTTTACTACTTTTGCAGGAAAACAAAATCTCGCATGTGAAATTCCAGTTACCCGAATCAACTTAACGATGAGAAAGAGCTCTGAAGAGTCGACTTTCCTAAACAAATCTTTATCTGTCTAGTGGGTTTTAAACTTTGTAACCAGTAATTGAAAAGCCCCTTCCCACGATCTCACCAGCACAAAACCAGCAAAACACTTCCAAGCCAAACAATGCTGCGATACCAGCATCCTCAACCTTCAGTTCCGGCCTGTTTTTCCATATATGCTTGACGTAATCAACTTCCTTCCAGAAAGATTCATAGCGACCAGGAATGCTGCACGAAGGCGAAGACTAATTAGGATGCAAGTATGAACTCCGACACTTAGATTAGGATGAAAATCAAGTAGTTCAAAACAATACAGGGATTTCAACGAAAAGTGCTAAATAAGATCAAGAGCTGACACAGGCAGCTAAAACAGATACAAAATTTATTATGACCACATGATAAATCTCTTAGGCAACGAGTTGCAGATCGAAATTGTATCGCCCGAATAATTCTTCAATATCTTTATCCACATGGCATTCTTGAGCATTGCATGTGTTGATACATTATATTCTAAAATGATCATTGAAAATTACCACAATATGAAACTTCAAAGAGAACAAGTTCTAATTAACGACACAATAGCAGTATACACTGACACATAAACCACACTCTCAGATAGTCGTTCATATTCTGAAGTGTGCAAAATACATACAAACTCCATTAAGCCATCAAAGAGGAGTGAAATTAAAAACTGCAAAAGACAAGCCTTCTCAAAGTAGAATTAGCTAATAAGTGTAACAGCATGGGACAGTTCACCTACTGTATAGCACACTAACAGTTTCAACACAGCCTGACTTATCAAAAATATGTCATTCACAGGAATAAAATAGGTTCTAAACACCTCATGCCTCTATCATTTGCTTTTCAAAAAGATTTTCCAAGTACAATCTCAGAAAACTTAAGCAATAGATTGTAATGATATCAATCTTTAGCAATGATAAAGATCACTTAACAGACTAAATTCACTGTTCAACTGAAAACGAGATCGATTGTTTGAGAAAATAGTATAGATAGTGAGCTTATCAATTTTATAATTTGAGTTGAAGCCAGTCCTCTGATATATTTTCTTTTCTTTTTAACTTCAATTACCATGATAAGTTGGAGAACATGCCCATAACAGTCAGTCGTATTATACATGTTCATGCCTAGAATTCAGGGAAACAACCTGGCAAGACGGGTGTAGAAAAGCTGCTTTGATAATTCATTGCACTTCTCTACAGTCGGTGGTTCCTGAATGAATTGCTTGTTCTGCTCTAGTAACTGCTTGTAGTATGTAGTTCCATGCTTGGAAACCAATTGGGAAGCTTGCACTGCCTTTGACTGCAACTGCTTCAATCTTGCTGCCATCTAATCTGAAAAGAAAATCCTAGAGTTCAGGCAAACAAAAGGCCATATAGGATTGAAGATCTCGGTCATATAAGTGAAAACTAAGGCCTAGCCTTCGCACAAACAAGAGATAACAAACTACAGAGTTCCCGTGAGAAATCAGGAAGGAAAAGGAAAAAGTAAGCAGATCACAGAATACTTCAATCCGTTAATTATCAGTACAATGATTAAGAACACTGCAGTGACTCCTATTCCTCCATACTATCCTGATCATTCAAACTGCAGTTAAAACACTTCTCTGGAAGTACAAAACACATTTAATATAAAATCAAAACTTAAATCATCACTAAATCTTTCATCAACACTACCAGTACCAGCTAAGCAATGCATAAAAGGTTAAAACCAATAAAGACTTAACAAACAACAACCTTTAATCCTATAATTGTATCTATATACAATGCATTGTCATCAGAGTGGACTAGAAGCGTTTTCAGTCCCTAGTACTCTCTGTATCATATATCCAGGTCAACTGACACCAGTTTTCACAACTATACACCAGTTCCCCCAGAAGCTTAAATCACACTGTAATTGAGCTAAGTGAAAAACATAACACCAGAAAAAGGAGCTTGGAAGCCTGGAACCTTTACGATGTTATCTGATTATGTATTATGACATGGTGACAAACACCAAATCAAACTTTACATAAACATTGTCTATTCATTCCCTTCTGGAAAAATCAATACAATATCATCAAATGATAGAAACACCCATTTCATTTATTATTATTATTATTATTTTAAAGATGTATTTAAACCCCACAAAAACCCCCGAAATAAAAATGTATCCGAGTTAATAGATCAGAATAATCATAAGCAATTAGACAGTTCAACAGCATCAAACACAGTGAAATACAGCATAACTTAAAACACTATCCCCAATTCACACATGAAAACAATCACAAACGGAAAGATTGAATACAATAAGCGTACACTCGATACCCCATATTGTTAGAACAAAGACGCAAGAGATCTAAGACAAATCGGCTCAAAACCCTAGGAAATGAGCAGATAAAAAGGCGAAATGAATCGAGACCAAAAAGGGAGGAAAGAGAAAAGTGCGGAAAGCTTCCATTGAAAATGAGATTGGAGGTCAACTATACCTGAGAAAGAGAAAGGGAATTAATGGCGGAGGGGCGAGGGCTAAGGGCTTGGACTCTCTCGCCGCAGGGGCAGCTGGTTTGGGTTTGGATTCGGTGAGGAGGACTACTGTGTGACTGCGGAGAAGATCCAGAGACGGAAATACTGATAATCGTTAATTGTGAGATATGGGGGAGTGGACTGGGGTAGTTTTTTTTTACGTTTTACTAAATTTACCGTGCTTCGTCCTTTGACTTTTATCTTCGACTTAGGTAAATATTTAATTTTACATTCCCACCCCCCCCCCCCGCCCCCTAACGCCTTTCACCTACTAAAAAGAATAATTTTCAAATATACGAAATATTTTTCCTTTATTGATATGCTTACTCATCAATCTTGATTATTTTTACAATCAAATTCGGTACTACAAATGTTATATTGTGGACTTTACATTTTATATTTGGAAATGGACTTTACGCATCAAATTTATCACCAATATAATATGTCCATCTCAAATTATTAAAAAAAGTTAATTAAAACGAAATGCTAAATAATCCTTTGTCGTATTTTAGATAAGTTCATTTATTCATATTGTAGTCTGTCGGGTGATTTTAAAATGTTCATTGAGTTATTAATAAAAAAAACTTACATAAAGATTTAGTGAGTCTATTATTTTCTTATTAGCCAAACAAAAAACAAATCTTCTTAGTGATAATTTTCGGTGATACCATATGTTCTCATACTATAACATTCTTCTCGCCAACCAAAGGGGTTGTGCTGGAGTGGTAAAGACTCATCCTCCCTTGATCATAGGTCGAGGGTTCGAACCTCGTCATGGGTATGGATTAATCTTCAATGTTTTGACCAGCTCTCTCACCTATCTAAGTACCTACCATGAGCGAGGAAAATTAATCATTATTGGTATGGAGTAATCTTAAATGTTTTGGCCAGCTCTCTCACCCATCTAAGTACCTACCACGAGCGAGGGAAATTAATCATTGTTGCTGACGGTGGACACCATGCAATATGAAAAAAAAAAAAAAAATTCTTCCCGGCCTTTAGTTCTATCCTCATCACATATGGAGTACTATAATTTAGTTGTGATAATAATTCTGTACTTTCAAATATCATTATGAACAATTCTATTATATTACTTTTAATTTAAAGGTTAAACTTAAATCCAATCACCCTAATTGCGAAATGTAATAAAATGTCATTTTTCTCTTGTGAGGCCTGGGACAGTGGAACAAGTCTTCCAAGCAACCCAATTAGAAATAGGCGAAACTGGAACTTTAGTCAATCCAGCCCAAAATCCACTTTATACAAGGCCCATGGGTTTTAAGGCCGATCATGCTCTTCAACACCCATGAAATTTCCACCTCCTCAGACCTTACATTACCCCATGATGGCCGGAATATTTGTCGGCAGCGGTGGACCGTGGCCATAGATTGATATTGTTATTTGCTAGGCGGCGGTGGTCGTAGATTGATCTTATTTAGTCTAGCAATATCTTTTTTTTTCTTTTTTTAAATAATAAGTGAGTGTTACATATTCAGTGGAGCAATTTGATTAGTTGAAAATGATGTTTTTGAACAATGATTACCAAAAATATACATAACCGACATATTACCTCTTCCTGCGCAGTTCGCACTCTGAAAATGGTCAACCATCCAACTTTAACATTTTGCACACAGCATCAAAAATTCAGTGGAACAATGAAAAATTGTGCTAATTTCTCCCAAGTCATGATACATATTTCTTACCTGTCAAACTATTTTAATACAACAAATAAAACTCTGATGTTGAATCACAGATGATATATCTCTATCAATCATGATTGAAGTCTCATACCACCCGTCTTAATTAAGGTTTCACCTATTTGGTGTGGCCCTTTTGTGCACTGCGTTATTTGATCAATCAATCCACCAATTACAAGTAAAATTGTACTTAACGGAAAAAAGAAGAAGAAATGGTCTAAATTGGCAAATTGACAGCGAGGATCATGGCAGTGCAAATGCCTAAAAGGATCGCAATAAGCCCCTGGCATAGCATGCCTCCATGACCTGAATATTGACTACTATTTTTATTAATTGTTGAGGGGACACACCTGACTAGCTGAAAACAGCTAGCTCTTTTTGGCAAACCAGCTAGCTCAAAGTGAAACCGGCTAGCTATATCAGCGAAACCAGCTAGCTAAAATTGGAAGCAACTAGCTAACTAATAGACAGAATGATTCTAGCAACAGACCAGCTAGCTATATTCCACAATCCGGCTAGCTATTTCACAAACAGAATGCTTATAGCACAACAAGCTAGCTATATCCCGAAAACCAGTTAGCTCAATCATAAACCGAATGGTTACAACAACAACAAGCTAGCTGTATCCATAAATCGGGCTAGCTAAATTACAGCGGAAGAACCAAACACCTCCTCGGTTTGCAAGGACACCCCAGGAGCATAAAACACCAAACCAAATGGAAGTATTGCAGCAACGAAAAAATAATCAAAGCAAAACCACACAAGAACACAAGGATTTACGTGGAAAACCCCCTTCGATGTGAAGGAGTAAAAACCCCGAAACCAAAAGCCCTATCAAATCCACTATCACCAAATGAAAATTGAGTACAAAGGCTTCCAGCAACACAACAAAGATATCTAGTCCTTAACCAAGTTAAACCAAGCTACAAAAGGCGCTAGAATATCAATACACGATCAAAAGATCAACTAAACTGCAATATTGTTCAAAAATCTATAACTCCTAACCTGGACATCGAAAACCAAAACCCTTCTGCAGAGATGAAGAGTGATGGGCCTTCTAACTCCAGTAAAAGTTTCAGAGCAATCTGACTCTGTTTGCCCCTCCAATCGATAAGAAATCAGAACCAACTACTGTAAACCTCTTGCTGAAAAATCCCTTCCATTTGCTGCCCGTTTTTGTAGTTAAACCCTCTTCTCTCTCACTCTTATCTTCTTTCAAATGCTGACCTGCCCCTTTAAGTGGTCAAAAAGTGGGCCAAAATATTTTCTCCATTGGGTCTTTCTCTACATATGTTGGGAGCCCAATAATCTCAACACATCTCCCCCCTCCCGACTATCTAGAGAAAATTACCATCCCGGCAATACCACAACAAACTTCAAACTTCCATTTAGGCAAGACTTTAGTCATCATGTCAGCACCATTATCAATAGTGTGAACTTTCTCAAGTTCAAGCAACTTCTCATCTAACACATCCTGTATCCAATGATACTTTACATCTATGTGTTCAGACTTGGAATGAAAAGTAGGATGCTTACCAAGATGTATTGCAATTTGACTATCACAAAGCAAAACATACCTTTGCTGTGAGCATCCAAGGTCTTTCAAGAACCTCCTCAAATACAACAACTCTTTGCAAGCTTCTGTAGCTGCAATAAATTCAGCTTCCGTTGTTGATAGAGCAACACATTTTTGCAACATAGATTGCCAAAAAATAGCTCTCCTGCAAAAGTAGTCAAATAACCTAAAGTGGATCTTTTGGTATCAACATCTCCAGCCACATTGGAATCAGTATACCATGTGAGAACTGATTCAACACCTCCAAAGCAAAGTTTCAAACTTGAAGTGCCACGAAGATATCTCAAAATGCACTTGACTGCATTCCAATGCTCTCTTCTAGGCTTGAAAAGAATCCTGCTCTCTACACCAACTGCATGAGCAATATCAGGCCTTGCACACACCATTGCATACATCAAAACTACCAACGGCAGAAGAATAAGGAACATTTTTCATTGCTTTCTTTTCTTCGTCAGTAAAGAGACTCTGATCAACTGTCAACTTCATGTGCGCTGCTAAAGGAGTACACACAGTTTTAGCCTTGTCCATTCTAAACCTCTCAAATACCTTTTC